TATTTTTTATCACCATTATTATTTTCCATCTTACCTATGATGTAATCATATGATGTTTTGAGTTTTGACGGAAATCCAGTATTTTCCCTGTCCCTGTTAAGCGCAGATCGGAAATAGGCGTGGCCAATTACACCAACTATGATGGTCGTGACAACAAGTTTCTCCATTTTCTGTAACAAAAATATGCATGTTGTATAACATTATCCATTTTTATAAATACTTGAATAAAATTGTCAAACATAACTTATAATATTGAACATTCTAAGACATGGCTGCAAAGATATAGCTTGTAGGGTTGATCACTCAAATGAGACTTGTTTCAACAATCTAAACGGCGGAGTGGTATATAATGTCTAGTCCGAATTATTCCGACGTTTTATCGACTTTTTTCATATCGGTCTGTCGGCGATTAACGTCAGAACTCCGGCCTTCTATAATATGCGGGAAATATGCGACCCGCGCCCGGAGCGCACTTCAAACTGATATTTTAGAAACAAATCGTCACTTTCACACACATGTCGCACATGGATCGAACGATCTATTCTTTATGCACAAAATGAACATACATAACATGCCTCAAACAACCAATACAATCACTAAAAACATATTTTTTCAAACTTACTCTGTTTTACTCTAGTTTTTTGATAGCCCCGCCTTCCATTGCCACGTGACTAAAATTTCGCCGGCCTACGTCATAACGTTGGGAAATACCTTCGGTAACACTAGATCTCGTCAAGTCATGTGACATTGCTCATGGCCTAATTTCCATTAAAAACATGGGTTAGTATAGAAAACGTTCGTAATGATCTTTGAAACATGTTATTGATACCACCCAGTGCATAAAGATTAGATCTTTCGATCCATTTGCGACATGTGTGTGAAAGTGACGATTTGTTTCTAAACTATCAGTTTGAAGTGCGCTCCGGGCGCGGGTCGCATATTTCCCGCATATTATAGAGGGCCGGAGTTCTGACGTTAATCGACGACAGACCGATATGAAAAAGTCGATAAACGTCAGAATAATTCGGACTAATAATGTCCAACAGGAAAATATATAATGTTGGGTTTTCCACTTCATTGCTTTAATGTCAGTGATTTTCCTTTTTCACGTGAACTGATTTGCAAGTCATTTTTATTAAAAACCTTCTCATTTTAACGCTTACTTTATTCCAGTAGCAGTGCAGTGGCCTTAAACCTCTTACATTTTGCTCAGTTGACTATGAAATGTGACAACAGTTGATCTTCGATACAGACCTTTATCCACACCCATATATAAATTTCATTTCAATCATCACGAGTTGTCCTATTTCTTTTTCAATAGAACCATGGCACAAATTAAAACTGATACATGCATACATATCCACCGTTCCCCAATAATGCCTTTCTAATCCACTAATGTAGAGAGTTCAGACTGTTTATACAGCATAATGTATGAATAATATTGCGAAAATTCATTTCATGTGTAATCCTTTAATGTCTTGAAAGACTGACTCGCAACCTTTACGATAAAGATTCACTGATACACAAATCAGGATATATGGCAATTATATATATTTATGCAGGAATTGCAATTTTTAACGGATTATACTGAAGAGGCATACCTTTTAAAATGTTATAGAAAGAAATATCAAAGGGGAGTTTTGATATAACAGATTATTTCCAATAACAATCATGTACCGTATTTATGCTCATTTAGATGTATGGCTTATTTTTGACAACGTTATATGTGATTAACAACCAAAAGTGATGAGCACTGCAAAGTTAAAAAGAAATAAGTAAAGAAGTCTGAATGACCAAAAAGTCATGCGGTACATGAAGAAAAAAAGTCATCATTAACGTCCACTGCTTGGAGTATAACATATAACATAATGTGTTTCTCCTTATAGTGGAAACTAGACCTCAATGAAAGTGTCTTTTTCAAGATGAAAGCAACGTACACTAAAATGAACACTTGCACGGAATATCGACCTTCTTAATTTTATAAAATGAGTTCTATCAGTTCTTTCCTTATTTAGGGTATGTACTGTATAGAACTCTCTTTTCAGCTTAGTCGTTGTAGCATCGGATTTTCAGAGTAAAACCTCATTTCTTCTTACAGGTGAAGTATAGAATGAGTTGGGTAGTGGGCAGTGTCTGAACTGTAATATTAAAGCTATCTATCCTTAAGATGTCTGAGTTCCTTTATCTGAGCACTTAAACACGATGACATTCATATCATACAACAAAGAATATTTCCAGGTCAGATCGTGAGATAATGATAATGACCATAACACTTGCAGGTAGTCTTCAAAGCTTATTATTCGACTTGGTTCATATCTGTTCATATCAAATAAATACATATATATATATTAAATAAAAAACAATGTGAATCCTTGTGGTGTGTCCCAGTCTGCACTAACAGCTCTGATAGGCCTTCAATACTACCATAGTCCCTCGTATAACTGTACTGTGTTGACTGACAGCAAAGATAAACATGTGTCTCTGGATTACTTTTCTGACACACACACATTCGTAAAGATCAAGTGTTATGTTGATTATATTGCTATTACTTATTTGACCAAATATATATCATAAATTATCAGAAACGATGTTTACAGGAAGATATCAGTCCATGAAATCCTTGGTACTAGAAACTGTTTTGTCGTCTAAAACATTATCCCAATTTGTTAGGTATTTTAGGTATTTTTTTAAAGTATTTTTGTGTTTGGTATTAATTGTTAACAAATATATTAGGAAAGTGTGATTTTTAGTTGTCAAAGATATGAAGAATACATTTATATCCTTTAGCGTACATCATACATGATGTAATATCAAGCTTTCGAAGGATCGTTCCCAGCATGTCAATGGTTTATTACATGGTGTTTACATGTACATACATGTACCTAACTCTCATTTAAATGTTTAACAAAGGTTTCTTCACCAAAATCTTATTATTAAAATTTAACATCAGATGAAAACAATTACAACTCAACTTCAATAATAACGAACAAAATCAAATATTATAAACTGACACCAAACCAGGAACAAAGGCGACAAAATAACAGGAGGAATCGTGAAGACAGACATCAGATCATAACGCTAATACACAGTACAGAGGCATGTGTATGCGTACATTAATGTCAGATGATTACCGTTTTCAAACTAGGTTATCGTTGTATAGCCTTGAACCTAATGATTTGTAAGGATACGTATAAAGGCCGCCTTATGTACAAAGTTATTAACACACACGCTTAACTGTTTGTTTTTTATTCCGTTTCGCATTATATCTTAAAATTGGAAGAAGAACTTTTAAAGACAGCACTTTTGAAAATTTATTTTTGATTTTTAAAAGATGGTTTCGTTGTTAAAGGGATTGATTTTTCTCTAAGTGTTGTCATAAATAATGGAAATCTACACGTGCTCACTTCTAAAAGCATTTACTGTGAAACAGTCTATCGTACAGGGACAGACATGGTCTTAGTGTCTTGTAAAATAATGTATATGTACGTGTGTATCACACCCCTCTCCTCTATTGAAGACGAAATCAGCAGCAACTGCTGTGTTATTTAATACACTTTCTGGCATGCGATATACATATAACACATTCCTTTAAAAAAAAACAATTTAGTTTGTATTAAACACATATTTATATCATTTCCATTTTCAACGTAACAGATTACGAATGAATTGATTGAAAATTATGAATCACAACTTCTGTGTCTATAATATCAACACTTACAGTACCCTTGTATATCCTATGCTGTCTGCTCAATCCGTCTTTATATGTCTCTTTCAGTGATCGGAACACTGACCCAAAACGGGTAGTACTCTTTTTACCTCAATTCCCCGTCATCCCACTATAGTTTTATCCAATCCATCAAACATTTACTAGACTGCCGTCAATGACTCGCCATAGACTTTTGTTGTCAAGGGAATACTTCCGCTTAGTTTTTTCACCAGATACTCTTTTAACCGAAAGTCTTAATATTACCCAGAGAAAGGTCGGCAATTTGGTAAGGTTAGAGGGTGCTCGTTTGTGCTCACTAGCCGACACAGCAGACAGGCGATAACGATTGATATACAGCTAAAATTGGCAGTTCAGGTTAATATTTTACAACATTAACAGACTTGAGCTATATACATATTCCTCGGGTTTTTTTTTCAATTGATACGGGAAAACTTATGGTGTTCTTAGCGCAGGTGGAGCGGTGTGTTATCACAATTAAAATGCATCGGCAAATTTCCAATTCTACCGGCAAGTCGACTAAACTATACGAATCGAACAAGTTCATTGTCTCGTTCTATTAATCGTGTGTACTTGATACTCCGAAGGATGGAAATGACCACATGGCGGCGACACTATTGAGAGCGATGGCAACATTGGCATTCATAATTTCCAGTTTCTCTTATGTCAAGAAGCCTTAATTCGGTATCCCTATCATGAGGTCAAGGGGTATCCCTGTAATAAGATCACAGGATATGCCTGTCATTACACCAATGTGCACCCCTGTCACGAGATGGAGGGATATTCGTCATAAGATAAAATGGTATCCCTGTCACGAGATCAAGGGGTATTCGTCATCAGATAAAATTGTATCCCTGTCACGAGATCGAGGGATATTCGTCATAAGATAAAATGATATCCCTGTCATGAGATTCAAATGTATTCCTGTCATGACAGCAACTTGATTTTCCTTGCATAAATTTTTCATTTCAGAATATGTTTTGTGCAGATCTTAGATACAAAGGAATTGGGAAGCAGGCGAAGCCTATGAACATCTTCTCCTTATAATCAATAACAGTTTACATGCACCATATTGAAGTAATGGTAAAACAAATGTATGTATCATATATATAACAAACAAATGACAAGAGTTTCTTAGTACCTCCCTAGTGCATTTAGCTTCCTCTAAAGAGGTGAAAGCGCTAGGGAGGTACTAAGAAACTCCCGTCTTTTGTTATTATAAATTTATATATATATATTGATAATTGCATGTCATTATTTGTTTTGACAATTGTTGTTACAAAAACAAGATAATTCAAACATCCGGCAAATAGTGCTGGTGGACAGCAATCCATACAGCAAAGTCATTTAATATTAGAAAAACCGATAATTGTAAAAGCGTCCTGTATCTTTAATCAATTTCTGAACTATCTCTGAGTATTAAATGGAATAGTATCATTAAGAGCAGAAACGAAACAGAGTTCAGGAAATGAAGGAGTTGCACCGTCAGGAAATCAACTGGTATACCTATCACGAGTTTATGAGGTATTCCCGTCTAAGGATCAAGAGTTATGTCTATAATGTGATCAGGGTTATCCTTTTCGTAGGATCAAAAAGTTACATAACAATACCAAACAGAAGACTAATACGGTTCACTTTATCTCCTCATTGTTTAGTTTTCTAACAGAAAACATAACGTCCATTCTATTCCAATGTTTTCAGCAATCTTTCAATGAATAGGTTCTTCAAACTCCTGTCAGGAATGTAATTATTCCACTTCAGTTACTTGTTTGACAAAATCTTCTACATTGTACTACAATCAAAATAGTGAAAACGGCAAAAAATCAACCCCACCTTAAAAGGTAAAAGTTCCTATTGTTCCTACACCTAATCAAATAAATTGATTCCTAAGTATTTTACCATAAACTATGTGTTTTAAAGTCGTATTTTAAGCCTACGTCTTCATGAGTGATCACAGCATTGTTGACAATAGCAAGCTTTAGATTTAATATCCCACAATCCCAGAATAATGCTGTCGTACATTATGCTGGAAAACTATATGCAATTGTTTCACCAAAAGGGTATCAAAATGCTACTATAAATAGCTGTAAATCAATAAGGCAAAACGAGTGAGTTAAAGATGTGATATTGTACAATCAGAATAATATGAGGAATGAAATGAAGCAGGCGGCGTAATGCAAAATAGTGTTCTATTAGATAAACCTTAGACAATACGATATTTACAAATCAGTAAATAAACTTCTTTTTATTTTAAACAAGAAACAAGTGTTTAAATGAAAATTAAAAGGAATATCAAATACAAAACGAAATGATAACATTGGTGTATGATATGAATCTACACATATACTTATTTCTGTGCATATTTAAACTACTGCAAAGGAGTTAAATGGAACGATTTGAATACATTTTCATTCATATTCAGCCTTTTCGGATCATATCAGCAGCTTTCTCTCCTATCATGATCGACGGAGCGTTTGTATTTCCTGAAGGAACGTTTCTCATCACAGAAGCGTCGACAACACGTAGACCGGAAATCCCTTTAACCCTTTAATAAGAAAAATATATCCTTCATTATTCATTCAATGATTAATTTTTATTGCTAAAAAATACCTTAATTCTAAAGTTTCCATGCGTTTAGATATATATATATATATATATATATATATATAAATATATCATTTCCTGTTGTACAACAAAGTACGAATATTGTAATACGAAGATTTATAAAATCAATCTCACAAAAATGCAAACATTTTTTCCTATAACCATTAGGACTGAAATTTCTCTTCCTGTGTATTTAAGGCTGCATTCTACTTAGGATTGAAATAAGGACGCAATTCCAAGTTTGGTGAAAATAAAATATAACAGGGTTAAAAAAGAATGAAACAAATTAAGTTATATAAAAAGATACATTCTTTATTATTGATATTTTCGTACCTCAGCTGGGGGTCCACTACGGCTGACGGATCATCCTTACCACCCATTCTACACGTAGATGTTGGATGGTATACCGTCAGAGTAAAATGTCTCACAAAACATTCCCAGAACTTGTCTGACCGGAACTCGTGGACAGAACACATTTTATGGTACAAAATTGGAGAGTTGACATCCATTCCGATAGATTTCAATGAGTCTGTACCAACCATCTTCTCCGTAAACCTTACACCTGCATCGAAATGTTTAATTAGTCATAGTATTTACTTTTTATCGTAAACAATACCACGACATTGCTTTTTTGTTTTGTTAGAATATCGTGCGTAAACAAAAAACACATTTCCTATATGTATGTGTGAAATGGACACACTATATAACGGATAATTGCTGTGATGATGCTTATCTCATCATTAAAATTCTTCGAAGTAATGCATTAAGCTATAATAACGGGTGTGCGTTTTTAACCTGCAATGGCAGTCTGAACATCGTCCGGGTGCTCCAGGTAATGCGGGTCAATTTTGGGATAGTCGAAAGGATCAGTTGTGCTCAGTCGGATGGTTCCTCTACTCTTAGGATGGAGGAGAGTCGGAACAAACATAATTGTCTCAACGTCATCAGTCGAAGTATAGACTTTATCCTTAACCTACAAAAGCACCAAGGTTTAGAAATAGACAAGTATGTTATTGACGTACAATCTCGGTGTTACTGACGCACAATGTCGTTGCATATACTGCATTGTATTATACAGTTAGATAAATATACATTGACATTATTTTGCTACTGAAAAATATCTTATGAAGTGAAACATCGTGCTCACATCGTGCATACATCGTGCACACAACGTCCGCACATCGTCCACACATGGTGCGCACAACTGTTCGATTTAACAATCGCTCGCCCCGTTGTGCGCTACTCCCCGCACAAAATGGGCGAGTTGGTACAATTTGTTTATTAATATTACGGAATGAAAAAAAAACACCAGGCGCCCTATGCCTGACATTGAGAGCCGATGTATAAGACCGTATTACTATTACTGTTATTACTGCTATTGGTCTATAGCTCCCCTTCACCTTGATCTTCACACCTTGACGAGTTTCGCAAGCGCCCATGGTGAGGAAAACTACGGTCCACGTACATATACATAGGGACAGTGTTTACCTCTATATGGGATCACGTCCATAGGTGTTATAATTTTACATGTGTCGATTTTAATAGTTTGAAAAACACCGAAATACCATTTCTAATTCTTAAAAAAGATCAGCTTATATATGTAGCTAGAATATAGAAACATACTTAAAAATCAAGTTTATATGTATGAACACGAAACCGTATATATTGGTAAGCCATTTCTCAATTGACACCAACAACGATTGTCTTCGCACAACGTTCGTCCATCGTCCGCACAAATGTGCGCAAGCAATAATCGTCCAGATTTGTATCGTTCGCACATCGTGCGCACACTGTGCGTACGTCGTGTAACGTTGTGCGATCCCACAACTGTATATATATAAATATCATGGGCGTCATAGCTAGGAAATAACGAAGACTTACTTCTTCTTTGTAGTTGAGTTTTAAGACATCTCTCAATGGTGGGGTTGAAGCATGGACACTATATACCATCATTTGAATGTCAGCATTTTCCCCAGAGTCCTTCTTTTTATTGAAATCTTTGTACACAAAAGCTAAAGACTCAAGAGCTGGTGCGGATAATAGACCTTACACAAATGAATAAAAACAAAATGATACACAATATAAATATAAGATTACAGTCATAAGGTCTTTCGTTGCCTCCTGATTAAAGGAATTTTGCCTCACTCATGGGTAAAATAATGCTAAATTGTATAGCATGCGAAAAAACAAGTGCGAAAGCATAATCAAAAATATGTTTCTTGGGCGCCAAAAGGATAGGGGTGAGTAATAAAGGGGGTAGGGGTGAGTCACAAAAAGGGTATGGGTGAGTCATAAAGGGGGTAGGGATGGGTCAGAAAGGGAGTAGGGGTGAGTCAAAAAGGGATGGGATGATTCACAAATGGGGTAGGGGTGAGTCACACAGGGGGTAGCGATGAGTCACAAAGAGGATATGAGTGAGTCATAAAGGGGGTAGGGATGAGTCAGAAAGGGGGTAGGGGTGAATCACAAAGAGGATAGGGGTGAGTCATAAAGGGGGTAGAGATGGGTTAGAAATCATATCAATAAAAGAATTTCCTGTTCTATTCAGATTTTAAAAAAGAAACTAAAAAAAAGATTCACTTATAAGGGAACGATATATATATGACGTATTCAAGGGGTGTATTTGAAATGATTGTACATTGACAAACCTGTGCCTAAGTACTCGTACTGTTTTGTTGTCCATGTTGAAGTCATTTTTTCGAGAGTTACAGCCCCTGTAGTATTCGTACTGTATGACAAAGGTATCATTATATGGTCTTGTAGGTTTTCTCCGACGGGAAGGTCAGCAAGTACAGGGATCTGGAAATGGGTTACAAATATCATAAGAATCTTTTCTGGGCTCAAATTAATACAAAATATATATAAATCAAAAAACCCTTATACAATAATCAAACTGGATTTCAAGATGTTTATACGAAAGGCAGCAACATGCACTAAGAATACAGCAAAACAAACAATAAGCACACTATGTCAAAAAATTGAAGTGAAACAATTTCCTCCGAAGCAGCAGAAGTTCCCTGTACCAAATAAAAAAAACAAACAATGTGAAACCAAGTGCCAATTAGCAGCAAGTAAAATGTCTATAATGCCATGATGCAATACTTCATCGTCAGTTATTTATTTTACAACATTGGTATATGACCCTTTATAGAAATAGGAAACTGCACTAAAACATTAAGGGATTTTATAGGACAAAACATTTAGAACAGATTCATTGCAGTAATTCATCTCACCACGTGTTTAACTTTACTGTGAACATATGTGCTACCGCTTGAATTCTACAATGAAGAAACCGTAATACCAAGTCCATCTCACAACCTACTACCTATACGGTAGGGACCAAAGCGATTCGCTCCCAAGTTCACCAAAACAAGAATATATCCATAACTAGATGATATACTATTATACTAAGGTTGTAGTTTTAGATGTGTGCATCGCCCTATGTAATCTAAGAAAAGGACCCTGACGCACTTAACATTCAAGGGATATGTATATATATTCAAAACAACAGTGAGTGTTTCATAGCAGTATTACTCCTTTACATCTAAACACGTAGTAACCTTTAGTTTATATCATATTATATTGCTATAACACTGCTATATGACACCACAGAAACAGTAATACCTCGGCAAACTCATGTCGTTCCAGCTGTATGATGGAAGTAAACAAAGACGAGTTTCCTTGTCAAGGACACAACTATATTTAAGCCGTCTGTGATATCTGAACCTTGCACATAGGTACCTTACTGTGTCCTACGACTTAGTAGGTATATCCATGGAAAAAAAACAGTTGTGTACCGTTAGGAAGATATCTGTTAACAATGATTACGTAAACCTCGCGTGCAGTCTATCGTAGGTTTTGAGTATGTAAATATACAGTTGACAATTATTGTATATAATTAGGTTTCTTGTTAAGTGGTTTATACATTGAACTATTATCCTATATAATTAGTGTCTTTGTTTTAAATGTTTCTATATAGTTTACTATTATTATTTATAATTAGCGTCTTTGTTAAATGTTTCTTTATAGTTGACTATTATCCTATATAATTAGTGTCCTTGTTTTATATGTATATATTTAGCTTACCTTTATCCTATATAATTAGTGTCTTTGTTTTAAATGTGTCTATATAGTTTACTTTTATCCTTTATAATAGTGTCTTTGTTAAATGTTTCTTTATAGTTGACTAGGATCCTATATAATTAGTGTCTTTGTTAAATGTTTCTTTATAGTTGACTTTTATCTTATATAATTAGTGTCTTTGTTAAATGTTTCTTTATAGTTGACTAGTATCCTATATGATTAGTGTATTTGTTTTCAATGTTTATATATAGTTGACTATTATTGTTTCCCATTTTGAGGATATTCCTTTAGGTGCCAGAACTTGATAAAGTAATCTGTATATTTTAATTAAATGACAACTGGTTTATCTACTTCTGGTATTTTGTATAAAGATAAACATACCCCTAATTTATTAAGGTGTTCCTTTGGTCCAACGCCGGACAACATCAGAAGTTGTGGAGAGTTGACGGCGCCAGCAGACAAAATAACTTCCTTTCTGGCAAACACTCGGACCTTCCTTCCGTTCCTGATGCACTCTACACCAATAGCCTTCTTGTCTTTGATGATTATCTGCATGTGATTATAGCACAAATTAGACGTAAAACTTATTTCTTTCGTTAAATTAAATGTATCACTCTTTTACTACTGTACTGCATTGTAAGGACTAAGGTGTGTTTCAATTCATTGACTGCTGACGTCACAGCTCATAAGATGTCCTCGTGCATCAATGTGTAGGATGAAGAGCTGATGTCATCATTGTTATACAGCATGTTATACTGATTGGTCAACAATCTGCTAAGCAAACCGAAATAATTTACAATTTAAACACTGGACCAAATATGTCGGTGAACTGTCTGGATGTATTTATTGAACATTTGGTGAAGATGTGCAATACACGTGACATGCTACCTGATTGACTTAATGTCTAAATGTAATGGATGCAGTCGTATTTAGATATGCCAATATATACATCAGAAACTGCTTACCTTCGTGGTGAATGTATTGGGCATTACATGAAGATTGGGACGGTCCAGATGTGGTTTGATAAATGATCTGTAAGAACTCCATCTCTCCCCTTGTTTTATAGTGGACTGCATCCAACTAAAACCTGTAACCAGAGTGACGTTATTGATGACATACGGATCTTGTAAAAAGTCAATTTGAGCACTCGTGACACAGTTCTTAGTTGAATTAAATGTCATGACCCTTCATTAAACTTTTACTTTAAATTGTATGTAAATTAGTACGTTTCTTTTCACAACACCAACGGTAGAAAACTGAATATGTTTTATTTAACGATTCAAAACAATTGTTAATACATTTGATGATTTTGTAGATTTCTGCCTCAGTTCATTAATAAGTTCATGATGGATGAGTTAACAAACTCACCTATTTGATCCCCGCCGTTACAGTCGATGACGTTATAACCCAAATCTTTGCCAGCGTCCAGACAGAATTTTTGCATTGGTGTGGTAGTTGGTCGAGTAACTGGTAGAGGGCCTCCCTTTCCGCGATATTCTGTAAACACATTAATTCATTAAACAGACTTATTACGAATGTATTGGCAATACTTTATTTCAGCATATTTTGTTCTATTTCTAGTATTGTAAAATTATGACTTGTCAAATATATTGTTTTTTCCATTCCATTGAAAGCTAAAATAAGTTCGTCCACAAAAGATTTCAGAGAATATTTTTTCAAACATAGGGATATTTTTGGTGATTATACTAAACTTAAACGTGTCGTACAAGACCTCTGTATTTTTTGTTGCTCTCAGCTCTATCGTATTACTAATATATAATGTGATTTTTTCTTTAATTCGAAAATGTGTCCATGTTCTTGCAAGAGTTTTTGATATTACCTGATTGTTTAAACTCGTCAATCTGTATGTCCTCTGACTTCATAAAGTATGGAAGAACGTCCTTGTAGCTCCAACCGTCACAGCCTTCCTCAGACCAGCTGTCGTAATCATGGCGGTTACCTCTTACATACGCCATCCAGTTCAGAGAGCTGCTTCCTCCAAGAACTCTTCCTCGTGGCCAAAAGCTTCTCTGTTAATTATTGCAGGCATTTGTGGGATCAAAGTTTAATTCACAATTATGTTTTATATCGTTACTTATAGCGTCAATAACATACAGAAAAATAAAAAAAGAATAATTACATATATTTATAAGAGCTTATCTATAATGCAAAACATTCTTTGTTTATTAAGAAGATCGAAAGTTATATAGTAATCGTAACTTAAAGTCGAAATAAAAAGAAAACAGGTGATAAAATGGACCAAATAAATCGAACCCCCTCTTTAAAAGAAACAAAAAACTGCGCAAAGGAAAAAGGAAGACCATCGTTTCCTAAAACAGACGTTGTAGCAGTCAATGCTGTCCAGTACGCCCGTCACAAACGACCTAGCTAACTAAGGCAGACATTAATACACGATTACTTAAAATCACGTTATAATAAAGATATAAAAGTATTACCATCAATCGATGTATTCCTGGTAAAAACCTTGCCTTCAGTGATGAATCTTTTTTTAATATAATCTGTACTTTCATTGGGGATCTCTGTTTCTTTCAGATTTTACCAAATTATATGTTGTCAACAGTAACTAATTTTATGTATTTTTATTTTCAACCGGTCGGATTTATTTTGATTTATTTCTTTGTTACAATAAGTGATTATTTCTTATTTTTTCAAACCTGTTCTTTCATGGCAAAACAGGCGTGCTTCTGTGGCACGGTGTAATAGCTCCAGTCCTCGTCAATATTGGTCAACTGTGCGACCGCTCCCGGTATATACACGTTAGGATTGGTCTCGTCAGAGCCACCAGCTTCAAGTAGCGCCACGTCATTAGCAGGGTCCTCCGTCAGACGAGCCGCTAACACCGAGCCCGAGGAACCAGCTCCCACTCAAAACATGATGTTGCAATTGTTATTGAGAGAAGAAAATTATATACAAAATTACACGGGCCGTGACCTGCACGTTCGAGCGGGAAATGTATTATTTGTTTTATTATCTATTGTAAACTACATGTATACAACTAAAAAATTAAATTAACAATAGTAACGTCACTACCAGCATATTTAACAAAGTGAGTGTGAAAGGGAATGCAAGACTATGTCCAGATAGAGAGTAAGGATGTGATATTAATGGTATAAAATCGAAGAAGAATGAGGAATACGAGTTGAGTGTGGACAATTGTTGTAAATTAAATAATATGACTTTAAAAAGGAAAATACTGATAATGAAAAATTAATAAATAGAAGTACAATGATGAATGGCTCGGTGACAAGCACCATATATACGATATAGAGCACACACAAAAAAGATAGATATATGATAAATTTAACAACCACATGCATACTAACTACTCACATACTAACAAAAAAACAAAAAAACAAAAAGTATGCTCATGAATTATAATAATTGTAATAATTAGACAAGCATAGTGAAGAGCCAAATCTGAGTACCACAATATATATATACAACGTCATATTTCTTTAATATTTACGAGTACGTGAGTTTTCATCTTACCTATAATGTAATCATAGGAGGTTTTGAGATTTGATGCAAATCCGTTATCCGTGTTTTGTGCAGAGTGGAAATAGAAATATGCAAATACTCCAACAATGATGGCCGTAGCAAGAACTTTCTCCATTTCTGTAATAAAATATGCATAAAGGATAAAACTAATCGCTCTCATATATTTACATTGGTATATACTTTATTTGGTATGCTATTATATACTTACTTTAAACGTACATGTTATCCATAATGATTGTGTTTTAGAATTTGTTTCTAAAGCAAACGGCAAAATATTGCTTCGCACGAATTGCCTTTATATGTGAAAGTCCAATCGTGCACAAGCATTCTGTTTTTAACACGTATTGTAATATGTCTAGTATGTAGTGTTTCAGTATTGTAATAAGTCACTCAGTGGACATCCAACATAAACCTTTGATGTCAATCTTACTTGAACAACACTTAAAAATTGGATACATTCACTTGCGTCAAATGTTGACTAACATAATTGCGCTTTTACTTTACTCTTTTACACTTAATGTGATGATGTTACATATAAGCAATATACCGATAGCAGCTTATTGTAATATGCATGGAAAAAGCGTCAGAAATGTATTTAGAGTCATGTATACAGGTTAATATAATTGTTCCAGCTTTTGACCCCTAGAATCGCCAATAAGTCCTACTAGAAGGACGTAACGGCTGCATGATGCGGCTTAATTCATATTTGACAGACTGTATCTATCACCAAATGGTAAAGGTGCGAATCACATGTGTTTCTGTGTAANATTTATATCTACTTCCTGTGTCCCACAGTAACTGTGGTATTTGTATCTACTTCCTGTGTCTCACAGTAACGGTTGTATTTGTATCTACTTCATGTGTCTCACAGTAAATGTGGTATTTATATCTACTTCCTGCGTCTCACAGTAACTGTGGTATTTGTATCTACTTCTTGTGTCTTACAGTAACGGTGGTATTTGTATCTACTTCATGTGTATCACAGCAACTGTGGTATTTGTTGCTACTTCCTGTGTCTCACAGTAAATGTGGTATTTATATCTACTTCCTGTGTCTCACAGTAACTGTGGTATTTGTATCTACTTCATGTGTCTCACAGTAACTGTGGTATTTGTATCTACTCCCTGTGTCTCACAGTAAATGGGGTATTTGTATCTACTCCCTGTGTCTCACAGTAAATGGGGTATTTATATCTACTTCCTGTGTACCACAGTTACTGTGGTATTTGTATCTACTTCTTGTGTCTTACAGTAACGGTGGTATTTGTATCTACTTCATGTGTCTCACAGCAACTGTGGTATTTGTTTCTACTTCCTGTGTCTCACAGTAAATGTGGTATTTATATCTACTTCCTGTGTCTCACAGTAAATTGGGTATTTTTATCTACTCCCTGTGTCTCACAGTAACGGTTGTATTTGTATCTACTTCTTGTGTCTTACAGTAACGGGGGTATTTGTATCTACTTCTTGTGTCTTACAGTAACGGTGGTATTTGTATCTACTTCATGTGTCTCACAGTAACGGTTGTATTTGTATCTACTTCCTGTGTACTACAGTAACTGTGGTACGTATGTCTGCTTCTTGTGTCTCACAGTAACGGTGGTCTTTGTATCTACTCCCTGTTTCTTGCATTTAAGGTACGATGGTACGTGTATTTTATTAATGTCCCACACTGAAGTTACTGTTGCTTATGTATATACTTCATGTATTAATGCCCATTCTAGATAGGAGAATACTTATTCAAAACAGGTAATTACATTGGCTCCCTTTTTAAATTTTTTTTCTTTTTGATACATTACAATTAACATATAACGCATAATTACCCTAAACACAGAGAAATCTTATACATTATCACTATGATATAATTTAGAAATATCTTAAGATGTAAGCGGTTGACTTAAACCAGCGGTCCAATGCCAGAGTGAGAGACAATTAAACTAATATTTATACGTTTACTGTATGAATGAGGATTGTATAAGGGGGAAAATACATATTAATACGCTACCAAGTCACTCTATGAAATGCATACGGCTCTCCCTAATCCTCGTGAATAGCATATGAAGTAACAAATGTACATTCACATTTGAGTTCTCATCTACACCTGTAGTCAATATATGATTGACTCTATATTTAGATTATATCATCTTATTCACTATACTTCCCTCGTATATTCTGAGAATAACGTAAGTCAGATTTAGATCATATCTGTATATACTTGATTTCAACACATTTCAGGATAGCGAGACGTACATAATGTAATTGAAGTAGGGATAATGTCGACCCTGTGTATGTGTCGGTACTTTACTGCACCTAGTCTAAAAATATATATTCAGTTATGACTGGCGTTGTTTTCCACCATTTTATGTTTATGACTACTGTAAGAAGGTGATTTAATGCGGTCTATACTTACTTCTGTCAACGGTGTCTAAAACCTGTCATTCCATACACTGTGCAAAGTGCATATCCGACTTCTGCTTGACACTTTCTGAAAAAACACGGTATCAACGGTTACCACTACAGGGCCGTTTTTCCCCGTAATGCTTTTTGCGAAAACTGGACGTTTGATGCACGTTATCAAGGTACGGGTGCTTGTAAACGTGCTTCCAGCGCTACTGATAGGGTGTCCCAGTTGTCCAATTTACCTACATAGGACGGAATCAAGCAGAGCGTATCTACAGCCACTAAATAAAATAACTAGATAGATATAAAAATATCATGATCGGTGAGTTTAAATGCAGTGGACAAGTCAAGCATGAAACGTACCGCTCTGTACTAGTTATCCAATGTGGTAGATATGTCCTTGTTGACTAAAAACAGGGCCGTCTCAGCAGAGTCACTCGTACAATAAGCGGATTGCATATTTCAATGAAGATAACGCACAGACATAAAACTCAAGACGTTGGGACAAAAATCTTCTCCAATAACTTAGATCAGAACGCTAGCTTTGATAGCGAGTAATAGTTTGTAACTTTCATTGAAAATGAAAAATATAATGTTTACGATTGAGGGATTAATCAAACAATTGTTTCAATACATTTCTTTAACATGCAGGGTGACCTTATTTTAACATGTCAATGTTGCAGTGTAGAGGCCTAGTTTGGAGTGTAGTAAGCAACATTCCAAGAATTGTTCTGACCGGAACTCGCGATAAACAGACATCTCATACTGTATCTCCCTTTTTGCTGTATATTTGTTTCGGAACACATGATTTTGTAATTCCTTAGACGCAATGACCATATCCTGGAGTAAAATATGGCTTTCAGAATCTATAAACAACATATTGAAATAGGTACATATTTTCTTCGTATTTTTAATTATTACCCTTACATTCACACCGATAGGGGCATTGTATTTGTATCCAACAAGTTTTCTACAAAACGGACTACTGGCGCGGAATCGCAAATAAGAATAGATTTCTACATTAAAGAATTTTAATAAGTTAAAAAAAATCATATTATTAACCTTTCTTAACTGCCAGCTTAATCAGCCAATCCCTTTCAGAAATATAATCGATAAAACAAATCTCTGACACTTAAGGAAAGTTCCCTCAAACTTTCCTAATTGCCATTTTTAGTGAAACAGTACTTGTCAAGAAAATTAATTCCAACAAAAAGTGCGCTAGCGAACATTCATGATCCGATTTCCTTATTACATTTCATTAATGAATCTTTATAATGACACTTTTAACATTTGATGAGTAATGGAAGGATGTGGCATACACTACGTCCTCAATACTTATAAGACTACCAAGAAATTTAGTCATTGATCTTAACCTGTTAAATGTATCCAAAATATAACACAATATTAAATATTATGACGGGTCAGTTCGGAATGAATGGACGTCCGCAACCTGGACATTAAAAGTAACAAAATCAATGTAGGCTCGTTACTTACTCGGTTGCAATTGTTTGTCCACTAAACACGTTAATTTTAAATTATTTAGTTGTTTTCCCGTTTTATACCGTACTTATTCCTGTACTTTAAAAAAAAAGTTCCATTGTCATTTCATTTGTTCACGTATACTTGATGAAATGTTTAGCTTCACTAATATTTGTCGTGTAGTATGATTAAAAGATTAAATATAAATAATATGTTGTCATTAAGCTAGATCGAAAGTTTTTCTATTATAATAAAATGTCATTTAGTGAAGATTAATTTGTTTCTACAATAATCTGTTGTCATTGGGATGGAGACTTTTTCCTGCCGCAGGTTAAAGTATATAGTGGATTGTTTTCTTCGCATATCAATAACTTAGTTGATTCATATCTGTCTACAAACGATAATCGTGTATAATATATGCCTGCTACCATTGGTAACCTGTGTCTGGTTATAGATATATCAGTAGTGACTTTAAGTCACCTGTGTATGCTATGGTTGCCTTTTGTTCACCTGTGTCTGATTGTATCAGTGGTGACCTTAGTGAAGTAACTGTCGCCTATTCTGTTTACATAAGGTAGAGTATTGACCTTAAATGTCTCTCAACCCATTTTATTACCTTTAGGTAGGACTCAAGTTCAACGCTTAATCTTTCAGATGAAAACGCATACAGAGAATCAAGGCCACACACAGGTAACCCAGTTGTATTATCATTATCCCTTCTTGCTCCAGATAACAGACAATCGTATATGCGATATTTCATTGCAATAAATGGTATTTGCCTCAGGTTATTACCGTATCGTACATGTACGTTCATCTAGTTATATGTAAGATTTAAAAATCTATTTTTGAATCAGAAATATAAATTAACTTGTGATTGGTAATAAATGGAAATGATCAAACATTAATTTAATCGTGCATATCTTAATCATAAAGTTAATATGCAAATGTACCAGTCTACAGCTGTTCAACGTGAATCTCAACTTGCAAATATATATATATATTGGTTTATTTTCTTATTTTTGCCTTGGAAATACAAATGCATGTCTTTTTATAAAACGTGAATTTTAAAATAAAAATGCATAGTATATTATTTCAGTAAGTTTGCCTGAATAAAATAACAAGAAAATAATCATTTTGTCGATGAAATTAAAATAACTGCTTAGTTCAGGGTGAAACATTTTATTCATTTGTTATATGTCGACGCGTTATTTATAACATTGTATTATTATTTATTGTATGTCAACACGTTATTTATAACATTGTGTTATTATTTGTTTTATATCAACACATTTTGACAGACATGCGTTATGTAAACACATGACGACAAAGAGTATGTGATATACAGGTTACAGGTGTGAAAACACATGTTAATATAGGAATGAGATACAGATGTGCCACAGAAATGAGATACAGATGTGACACAGGAATGAGATGACAGATGTGACACAGGAATGAGATTACAGATGTGACACAGGAATGATATTACAGTTGTGACACAAGAATGAGATTACATATGTGACACAGGAATGAGATTACAGATGTGACACAGGAATGAGATTACATATGTGACAAAGGAATAAGATTACTGATATGACACAGGAATGAGATTACAGATGTGACACAGGAATGAGATGCAGAGGGATACTTTGCATGTATGAACGCGTAGGTAGCAAAAGAATTGAATATAAAGATGAAATAACTCTGGATGACAAAGGTATGTGATGTACAGGTTTGGCATACTGACATATAGCTTGAATACCAGGTGTTATAACACATAATGACTTGGGAATGGAATAAATAGCTGTAATTCTGATAAGCTTCCCAGTTGAGAGGGTTCCAAATTTTGCGATTCTACTAAAGAACTCGTTATTCTTGGTAGGTATGTTTGTTATACGATTAATCCCTTTTACATTTCCTCAAAAGTGGCAAATGCGTTACCGCTTTTCACCCTTTTTCCTGTCGATCAAAAATTAAGGACAGTTAAATTTGTGTGAAAAGTAGATACTTTGCAGTACACGTCGTTTATCTACGAAAAAATACCATAAATGCATCTCAATTCTCATACCTTTGTTATTCACATTAAATTCTTGAAAACAAAAATAATAAAAGCAACTGAAACAAAACAAACAAATGTACATAATACGTCTCAATCAAGATTTTCCTTTAATGTTGTTTCAAAATCATTTAAATAAATAACAGATATACACTAAATGAAGTAAGTAAGCTTTACATAAAACTCTTTCGACTCATCCTCCCGAAATCTGGATTTGTCAAATTGCTCTCCAAACATAAAACCTGAATCCCAAAACATTTAGTTTATTTTAATATTTGGTTTTACAGTGTTGCCAATTTATTTTTTAACTTGTATTAATTTTTGATAACAAAGTTTTACTTTTTACACAAACAATGTACGTATTAAACGTATCGCAACGTTTCAAGACCGACTGGTCCCTTTGTCAAGCTATGACTGAGTGAGCGAATAGTTTTTTTTACCTGTACCACGATGTGACGAAATTGTAAACTTTTCATGTCACTCGACCCGAGACATTTCGCCTATCGATAGGGAGCGTATACAAACTGCATCAGATAGTTTACAGAAAGGGTGTAATTCTAGCCCCTCCCCTGTTATGTCAGTATCGGATCATACAGATGACTCAGCTGGTGTCCCCTTCGTCTCTGTTCATGTTCTGAGTTTTTCAGATTTTTCCTGATTTCAAAATCGGGAAAACTCAGAACATGAACAGAGACGAGGGGCACACCAGCTGAGTCATTTGTATGACCCGATGATGTCATAACAGAGGAGGGGCGAGATCTACACCTTACTTGTAACCTATCTGATGCAGTTTGCAGTCATAGCTTGACAAAGGGACCAGTCGGTTTATTGTTTGTGTAAAAAGTAAACTTTGATATCACATATTTCCAAACTGATGAATCTTATGGACAGAAAAAAAGTATAAATTTAATTTGCTATAAGAATGTATGCCTGTACATGTTCAACCTTTCAGAATCAGATCAGCAGCTTTCTCTCCTATCATAATCGATCCAGCGTTTGTATTTCCTGCAGGTACATTTCTCATCGCAGAAGCGTCGACAACACGTAGGCCGGATATTCCTTTAACCCTAAAGACAGAGAGAGATTTTTTTAAAATACGTTACATCGTTTTTTCGAATTGGTTCAGGTGCGATTAAACTACCAGAATCAACGGTTTCACTCCTGCATATAGCTTATGTAAATCATCAATTCTAACACATTTATTAACTGTTTCTTAAACCAGGAGAACAGTTTACATTGAAGTACACACATTTCAGATTGCTTTTAATCGGAGCTAAGAAAGGAAACTCGTCTTACCTTTATTAATGTTGCAATTAATTCTTATTTGTTTTATTGTAGTTCTATCCCGCAAGAAAAAAAATGATATTTTTGTACCTCAACTGGGGGTCCACTACGGCTGACGGGTCGTCTTTATCTCCCATTCTACACGTAGATGTTGGATGGCTCGCAGTCAATGTAAAATGTCTAACATAACATTCCCAGAACTTGTCCGATCGGAACTGATGTTTGGAACACAGTTTATAATATGGTGATTGATAGTTGACGTCCATTCCAACGGAGTTCAATGTATTTGTGCCAACCATCTTTTCCACAAATCTTATAGCTGTGAACATATGTTTAACAGTCATCAGGTAAATACCTACACAGAAATAATTAAACATGTAAATGCTGCCTCTCTCATTATCAGTATTCCCACTGTGCTTAACAGTTTGTCCTGCATACAGATATACTTTATGTTAAAAAGATCTGAAACGCTTGTAAAACAAGTGGCCAATACAGCAAAACGAGTAAAACAATGATTATTTTAATGTTATTACAGGCCCATAATCACAGGTGTTCTCAGGTCTTTTCATTGAAAAGCAATTTAGTATGATAATTCAAAAAGCTGGCCAAAATAGACAATAACTGTACCATACGGCCATCTCGTTCAGTTCAGACTCGTTATTTCATATCAAAAAGAATCTTGTTGCATATGTGATATGCATCAAGAGGAAAAAAGACATATAAAATGTTATATAGGTACATGTAGCAGAGTACAGTAGAAATGGCTTGATCCTAAAAATAAAGGGCATGTCTCGAATAAATATGGATAGTGGATTCATCCTGCATAACACACCTACATATATATATATTTATTTATAAATTACATTTGAATACGGTTTTTTTAGAAGAATGAATAATTTTTCAAAAAGTGATTTCCCCAGATTTGAGACTTGTGAAAACCATGGTTACCACATCAAAAACGCCAAAAAATGCAAATAAACATGATTTTTAACCCAAAGTTTGACCCACGCAAGTATTTTGTTTTTAAACGTGTTTTAACTTAAAAATCACCTAATCGGTCACAGATACTCACGTTTTAGCATAGGTCGTCAAACTGGATTTTTCACAATATTTACACATGTGCTGAGTACAAAAATGGACTACATGAAAACTACCTTTGGTTGTGTAGACACAGATTCGTAAATGGCCAAAAATGTAGTCTCAAGCCAAATTCGATTTTTTTTTTTTTTAAATGTTAAGCCCACATAGTCCAATTTATCATGTATATGCTAATTTTAGAGCTGATTTTTTTTAAACTTTTGATACATGTAATATTACAGGGGTTATTCATTGTACAAAAAAATCACCCATGGCCACTGTACGCTACTGTACACTGCTACCATAACGTAAAGTTTTGACTTCATCATTTAAATAAACATTCCATATATTATTTCGTGTAAACCACATGTAAAGTTTACCAGAATAGAGACAATTCAATTTCAACTTTGTGCATTTTTTCCAAGTACGACAATAAACTGAAAATAAGGCGTATGAGTTTGCCTAACCTTCAATAAGCGTATGAACATCGTCCGGATGTTCCAGATAGTTTGGGTCAATATCAGGATAATCGAACGGATCCCTGCTCTTCAGTCGGATATATCCTCTACTTTTAGGGCGGAGAAGGATGGGAAGGAATAATATCGTTTCAACTTTTTCCGTGTCGGTAAAAATTTGATCTTTAACCTGAATCGTGTAGGAAATAAACCAAACAATGCCAAGTTAATTGTATAATCAATGCTCATGCTGTTTGGGTTTTTTAAAAGTGGATAAGAGGAAGATGATATAGTAAATGAATAATTCCTTCATTGGGATAGGCAATTGCAACCACATTGTAGAAACATGATAAATTAGAATTGAATACTATTTCAAATAATATGTATTAAATAAATGTAAACTAATTTTCCCGCTTGTCGCTTATGTTTTCTAAAGGACATAATATAAATAGGTTGAACACAAAAATTAACATAATATCGTCCACTGCTTGCGTAATGTTTCTGTAGCGCTTCCGAACACCTAGCAAACAATTGCAGTTATGGTCCGGAATATATTTGGACATGAATTTTCACATTTAAAAACTCAAAATGAATAAAACTATTGGTCCCTGCATTGGTCGTTTTAATATGACTTTGTGAGTGATTTTATTTAAGAAAGGCTACTCAAATTAAAAGGGCACAAAGTAAAAAAACAAATGGATGTGCAGGCGGTGGACCGTTTGATTACAATTTACCATATCATCTCCGTTCGTGAATGTATGGATAGTTAAAGAAAATCAAATGTTTTTATAAACACGGTATTAGCATTTAATCCGTGCAAAATACAAAAGGTGGCCCATACAAATTTTCAAAAGTATCAGACACAACCGTTCTTTTGGTTATGTTTGGTGAATAACATAAACACACGGAACACTAATTTAATATCGTTTGTTTATTTTGTTTTGGGGTTTTGTTTTGCAAACAGTAGGACCATAATCGTTCATTCGGAGGAGTACATAGGCGACAAAGACAAAACTTATAAATTACAAAATGACCATTTATCACCTTTTCCTGGTAGTTAAAATGCATTGAATCCCTCATTGAAGGGGTCGTGGTATGGACACTGTTAACGGAAATCTGAATATCAGCACTTTTTCCAGCATCGGTCTTCTTATTGAAATCTCTGTATACAAACGCCAAACACTCGCCGGAGGTGGCAGACCACAAACCTAGGAAGGAGTAAACAACAGCTCACAATACATTGTTAATAAAGGGTATAGAAAAATGCCATTTGTTCTCTTAGAAATTGTGACATTACTCGTTCAAAACCTGCATATGTTTGACCATTGTGGTATAAAACATCTTGTATACCCCAGGGGTAACGCTTACTAACACTCTCCGTACCCCTGGCATATGTCATAGCAAAACCGATGGCTTAGTGTGCGCCAGTTGTTGATGAGACAAAACGGTTAGTTCGATCCTTTGATGAACATCAAAAGAATCTTGCGATCACGGAGCGGTAAAATTTGACTGGTTTTGAAGTCGGTTGTCGCTCCTCTGTTACCTTAAACGGACAGGTATCAGCCCAGCGATTGGTTCTATCTTTTAACCTTAGACCAATCAAACAGTTACTTTCGTGCCTTTAATTTTGCTATGACATATTCCAAGCGTGCAAAGAGCGTAATTTAGCGCAAACCGTTGATTTTTAAAATTGGGTTTACATTTGAATCACAATCTTAAATTGTTCAAGTGAACGACACATTTGAAAAAGTAACGTAGCTCACATAAAGTAGCATACATAACAAGGTCGCACTGCAAGATAACAATGTATGTTCCTATAAGTATTAGCTTTGTATGAATAGACGATGTAGTAATTAAGGAATACAAGTTTGAAAAAAAATACTACTAATTTTTTAATGTACTGTGTGAAATACCACATACTGTGTGCTGATTGTTCAAAGGGAGGTAAATCCTCAATGTATTACCCCCTTCACTTGCATTTGTGTTTACTACGTTTAGATATGTGACATCGATGTTATTCTTGTAGCAACTACAGAACATCCAATCGTTATGACAGATATCATGCACAAGATATCATCAGATTTGAATTAACGCTATGAGTCCTTAGTCATTTGTTTACAGGTTCATTTGCGGGAGAGGTTGGTAAACGCAAATGTTGTAGAATTCAAGAAAACACATCGTTGATTTATTTGTAATTGTTGGCAAAAAGTCAACAATACAATCAGAATGTCTGTAAGACAGTCTTACTATTTCAGTAATTTTACTGAATAAAATGGTATATTAAGCCAAAAGTAAACACACAAAGGCACGATTTAAAAGAAACACAACTGCAAACAAATAAATGAGTTTACTTAGTCATACCTGTGCGAAAGTACTCATACTGTTTGACCGACCATATTGAATTCAGTTTGTCTAGAGTTATTGACCCTGTTGTATTGATGCCGTACACCAAGGGTATCATTAGGTGGTCCTGTAGATTATCACCTACGGGAAGGTCAGCAAGTACAGGGATCTGTTAATGGATTACAGGTACGAGATTATAACAGACAGCAAAGAGTCTATAAAGTAGTTAGGAAATTACAAACCTTTTATTGCAATCTAGTGAGGAAAGTTAAGTGCACATTAATGGCTATGAACACATATAAACATCAGTGAACACTGTTTATACTTCGTACTCTTATCTAGTTTTTCGTTCATTTTCTATTGTCCTTATATTGATATACATATGCATAATACTCATCGCAACAGTAACATAAGGCTACATTATTATTTTTTTGTTCATCTGTGTTTTTGTACTATTGTGTACAAACTAACATACCCCTAATTTATTAAGGTGTTCCTTTGGTCCAACGCCGGACAACATCAGTAGTTGTGGAGAGTTGACGGAGCCAGCAGACAAGATCACTTCCTTCCTGGCAAACACTCGGACCTTCCTTCCGTTTCTGATACACTCTACGCCAATAGCCTTCTTGTCTTTGATGATTACCTGAAAGATAAGTTAATTAAGTGTTTGATTGTATTGCTATGACAACAGTAAATATATTAGCTTATTCTTAGCTTGTGCAGTTTCCTATATCGATTTAGGCGATTTGATTTAAGAAAAAGATATTGATTATTAATATGTTTTCTTCTTAAGAACAACTTTTTAAAAGTGGATATTATAGGATATATGACACCTTTCCGGAATAAGCTTATAATGAGTATTTGTTAAATTTGTTCTGAAAACATATGACTGCTTACCTTCGTGGTTAAAGTGTTGGGCATTATGTGAAGATTTGAACGGTCCAGATGTGGTTTAATAAATGCTCTGTAAGAACTCCATCTCTCCCCTTGTTTTATAGTGGACTGCATCCAGCTAAATCCTATGTAGGGAATACATCATTGATATCAGAGAAAAATGAGATATGATTTGTTAAATTTCACTAAATATGCATACGAACCGATTTGGTCCTCGCCGTTACAATCGATGAGGCTATAACCCAAGTCTTTGCCAGCACCAAGATAGAGTTTTTGCATCGGTGTGATATTTGGTCGAGTAACTGGTAGAGGGCCTCTCTTTCCGCGATATTCTGTTTGCAAAGTAGTAAATCAAGATCACGCTTTTTTTTCTTACTATATTTTCCTCTATTCTGTTCTTTTTATTTTGGTTCTTTTTGTGTCTTTAGCTTTTGAAACTGATTCCCAAACTTGTCAAAGCAGTCAACATTGAATCACAAATAAAATCGAAGAATTGGGTCCATACTCTAGTTTTTTAAATGCATAAGTTAAGACATTACTAGACATTTAGTTATCTATGTTAAAACATTAACGAGTGGAGTTTATCCTGCCAATGGTAATTCAAATTTACCTGATTGTTTGAACTCGTCAATCTGTATGTCCTCTGACTTGATAAAGTATGGAAGAACGTCCTTGTAGCTCCAACCGTCACAGCCTTCCTCAGACCAGCTATCGTAGTCATGGCGGTTACCTCTTATATGCACCATCCAGTTCAGAGCGTTACTTCCTCCAAGAACTCTTCCTCGAGGCCAATAGCTTCTCTGTTATTTGAAACCAGAAATATTTCCGGTGTACCAAACTGTAATTTAATCTAACCAACACTGTTTTTCCAAACCGTTACCTAAGAAATTGTGGACATACAAGCAATTAAATCACAGGAATAATTGGTTGAATATTCGGCTAAATGCGGCTTCGTATAATGAATCCAACTAAGTCTGCAAGTATTTCATTACTCAAGCACATAGGACAGATAATCCATGAATTATATTATAAAGCAGATATCAGAGGATTATCAGTATTACTGATAACCATGAATTAAGGATAAAAACAGAAATCTGTGGATTATTGATAAATCATTGAAAACGTGTTCACTTGTATATGTTAGGATAACAGAGTCTCATTCATTTTTTTCTGTCTCTTATTTACGAATACAAATATTCTTCTCTAGAAAAACAAATCAGTGGTTATGAAGGCCAGATAAAAGTCTGGTGATATTTATAAACCAGTGCACAACTTTCCTGGCAGGGATCAATGCTAATCTCTTATCAAAACACCAAAATAATTCCAGTCGACAAGTAGGATTGTAATGACCTGAAATGACTTCAACTGGTAAACAGCTTAGTGTATTCAAGATAGTTTTTATTGTTAGTAGTATAATTTACACAGAATAACTTTAATTTAAAAGACATCCGAATGTTTAAGCTTCATATTTGCAAACCTCCTCTTCCATGGCTTGACAGGCCTGTTCCTGTGGCAATGTGTAATATTCCCAATCCTCGTTAGATTTTAACAACATGGCGACCGCCCCGGGCTTATAGATGTAAGGACTGGTTTCGTCAGACCCACCAGCTTCCAATAACACCACGTCATTTTTGGGGTCCTTTGACAGACGTGACGCTAAAACAGATCCCGAAGAACCAGCCCCCACTGAAAATAACATTGAATTGTGGTTACAAAAGAACTGTTGTTTGACTATAAAAGATTATTTATGCTTAACTCATCCACGTCTGAATTTTCAACATGAATTATGCCGACCTTTGAATTTAAAGAGTTCAAATCTGTCTTCAGGGGTGAATGAGGTAAACTAGTATTCCATGTAGGTCATGTCAGAATAAATTCCAACTGCAAGGTAACTTTAATCTCGGGTTTGACAGTCAACCAACAAAATAAACACGTTGATATCCATGGTGTTGGTGTGTGTAGCATCTGAAAAATGCCGAATACAGTTCGCTCTGTCGTTCATTTTGCGTTTTACAGCAATGTGATAGCAATGGTGTTACACAAACAAAATACTGTATGTTAAATAGAAACGGAGAAAAAAACATTATTCTAAATATATTGATGTTTTCCTAACACTGTCGTTGATATCTCACCTATTATGTAGTCATATGATGTTTTGAGTTTTGTCGAAAATCCAGTATTTCCACTCTCCGTGTTTAGCGCAGTTTTAAAAAATACATATGCGATTACACCAATTATGATTGCCGTGAGAAGAAACTTCACCATTACTGCAATACAAAGTGATAATACATGAAACATGTTACAAATTGTATTTCAAACATCACAAACACATAAGTACGGTAGTATCCTATACACACAATAGCAATGAGTAGATAATTAACCAAATTTAACTATAAGATATATAAAATGTATTTTATATGGAAAAAATAAAAGAACTAAAAGCGGAAACGTCTAAGTGTGAACAGACAAGTTGACAAGAACTACTGCTGTACCGAAGACCTGCTTTGTAAAGTGTTCATACTACAATAAAATCACACCACGGTGTTGTTAAGAGCAAATAAATTGTAAGAAAGATATTTGTTCTTCCTCATTTCCTTCTTCTTCTGACGACTCACTTATGGTTTGACATAAGTCAACATATACTAAATAACTACAAACAGAAAGTTTGGCATATGTTANATACTAAATAACTACAAACATAAAGTTTGGCATATGTTATAATTGCTTCCTGCTGTTTCCCCCGTTCATCAAAATCTATAAATATATAACTCCAAACAACGAAATGCCGTAAATGGCTCACCTACGGGTGGCCGTTGAATTTATTATTGATCGTCCATATTACTTAATAATATTTTTTGATGAAATTGCGGCCCATAAAACGAATTAAAATACCTGGTCCTTCTGTATAATCTAAGTTATTTTAGATATACATGTACATCTTTTATAATGTAGTAACGGTTAAAATATACCAATTATTACAATGAAATGCATTAAATAAAACTGAATAAACAACATTAATTGAAAGGAAAGCGTCAGAGAGCGGTGGAGGGTGCGTTTTTGTCAATATTTACAAAAATCAGTCTGTGCACTGTTGCTGATCCCTGACGAAGGTGAAGTTCAAGTGCGCTCCACTCAACCGTGACCACTTAAGTTGACCAATCAGCGTTGACCGTTCACGTGATGTACGCGTGGTCAATATGTGTCTGGCGTAAGTGGAGCCGCTTGTGTAACCGAGGATAAAATTAATTAGAAATTCAAATAAAAATAAGTCTTATAAGTAAGACTTTGCATTTTTCTTCCTCATTTCCTTCTTCTTCTGACGACTCACTTAGGGTTTGACATAAGTCAACATATACTAAATAACTACAAACATAAAGTTTACTCGCCGATTGTATGCTACGACACATATGTGAACACCGTTATTTACCTTAGGCATCTCCATTCAGCATGCGTAGGGCTAACAAGACACATCCTTTCATATATTTGAAGTATGGTTTCATGTCCTTAAAGTGAACCCCGTCGGCCCCATACAGCTCAAATTCATTCCATATGTGTGCCCCGTGGGTCCAAAAGCCACAACCCGGTAACTGACTAATAACGTCCCTCAGTAGACTATTCGTTTGTGTAATACGCGTGTTGTAAATATCAACACACACGTCCTTCTTGTGTTGTCTTGTCTTTAATCGGCGAAACAGTTCCGACACTACGACACACTGCACCCCGTATTCAGTTTCCAAAATTCCTACTAAATTGGCGATGTTTCGCACTACTACATCAGGCGTGTTTTCAGGACGACTTAGACAGTTTCCCCCAATCTGAAGACACACTGTGCGTTTTCCCGCCATGATGTCACCCCGTTGTAAACGATTGATCAGGTTCGAAGTGGTACCACCCGGGAAACCTGTCATATTAATCATATCACTTCGCAGCCCAACATTCCAACATCGTTCGTCTTTTCTGACATATTGCTCTAACCGTGAAATAAAACTGTGTCCTAAAACAAGCACTGTCCCTGTCGGGTTGGGTCCCGCCATGCTCAACCGTGACAATGTAAACAAAGAGTCTCATAAAAGTTCGTACGCCCACAAACAACAAATCATGCAAACATATTTACCAGTTGCAGCTCCGAAACGAATGAAATTGTCAAGAGTCTTGAGTCCAAAATGGGTTAAATGTGGGGTAACACTGACAAAAATGTGCGTTTTTGTCAATATTTACAAAAATCAGTCTGTGCACTGTTGCTGATCCCTGACGAAGGTGAAGTTCAAGTGCGCTCCACTCAACCGTGACCACTTAAGTTGACCAATCAGCGTTGACCGTTCACGTGATGTACGCGTGGTCAATATGTTTCTGGCGTAAGTGGAGCCGCTTGTGTAACCGAGGATAGAGTTAATTAGAAATTCAAATAAAAATAAGTCTTATAAGTAAGACTTTGCATATTTTGGCAGCATAGATTTGCACTGCAGATTTCTTATTTTGTTATGTCAAAAACGCATCGGAGAGTATCTCTCAAGGAAACATAAATTTCAAACAGACAATATGGAAATGTTGTCTGTAATTAACCAGCTTGAGTACAAAAAGCAAAACTTCAAATATAAATTACCCTAAAACGTCATAACGAATAAGTTACCGCAGTATTTAGATAATCAATTCGGTAAGTCAGCATGGATTCATTCGCTCAACAACAAGCCCAACTTTTGTTCAGCATGGAATATTATTCTACCTGTGAATTCTTATCAATATGATATAAATCGATGCCATTTTCAATAAAATATGGTAAAATTATAGAAACTGCAATCGTTTACAGTTCATTTATTTACTGGTATCAAACAATCCGTGACTGTCCTCAGCTTTCCATACAGAAATGTTGTTGTCAGCGTGACAATGCTTGTCAGTGTTTTAAGACTCTAATTGGTGCCCTGTCGTCCATACACGATCCAGTTTGTATATTCTTCGTTTTTATGTTTTTGGTGCAGGTTTCCAAGTAAAGAATGCGTTTGCTTTTGTACGAGATATCAGGTGAAGACCCTGCTAGATAAAGGTCATTTGCACAGAAATGTGAAGATTTCATTAAAACACTTGACAGCTGTTGTACTTTATAGGAATTTGCATGGTATAGATAGGAGTAAATGATAGGCGTTTGTACGTGTTCTACCATATTTATTGCACCAGTATTGTTTTAGTAATGTCATCAGATAATAAATAGCTTATTAAATAGGGGATAGGGACATTTAATACACGCAAATACATACAATGTATGTAATTAATATGTATCTATGTATAAATTTGATAAACAAATCGGTAATTTTAGACGCAATACATCATTCATACGATAATACATTTTTCAAAATGGTCCTAAATACATTCAAACGAATCAAACGTGTATTACATATTCGTCAGTGGTTATAAGAGCGAAGCTCTTAAATGGTAACACATGCGTACGTATACAGATTTGCTTCTCCTTCTTACACATTGCCATTTATTTTATTCCTCCGGAGGTAGCTGTCTAGTGGAAAAACCAGAATTGTATATTTGAAGTCAGGAAAATTATATTTAACACTCTTGCATGAACATCTACATATAGTGAAAACAATCTTCATGTTTTTTATTAATTTTTATTTAGAGAAAAACATAAATAAGAAATACCAAGTAAAGTTCACCTTTGACGTATTCTCGCGAGAATGAGATGCAACTTTATCATCTGTTGCGAGGGGAAATTTAAAAAAAAAACAGACGATAAACGGATACAAATTTGTTATTATATTTCTTCCTTTTCAAATTTTGACAAAATCTAATATTTATTCTGAGTGAAAAAAATCCATCACATAAAATGTGATACTAATATGCATGAAACTTCGTTCAGAGATTATCATACTATGACTTCAAAAAACATCATACTCCATCGGCCTTCATCGGTTATTTCCGGAAGGATAAAAAAATAAATATCCGTTGCTTCAGGACTTTTTTCTGTTTTTACCACAATAAGTAAACATTCGGAAATTTTCTTAAGATCCTTTTTGTCACCAACAGGGTTGTTCAAACAGAGCCGGCATAGAACCGATGGGTCCACGTAAACATTTATTTTGTCATCTTCAAACTTTCATCAGGTTTTAATTACCATTTGTTGAGAATATAAACGAAATAATCATCATTTTTTAAATCTTGCTACAGTATTTACATAATTCTTTTATACATTACCACTCATAACAGAAACAATTGATAATGCATTTATGTCGAAATCAACAATGTGTTATTCCGGACCACCAACGAGAGTTTAACGCCGACAATCAAAGTTACTCCAAAGTATCACAATATTCTCTTCTCTTATTTCATTTTTAACGTATATCTTACGTATACATTTACTTAGATATATCGTCAATTATGTAATATGAACTTAAGCAATTACTAAACAGTTTTTCCTAACTTATCTCAATCATTATGTTTGTGCCCTGACGGAAGCACGCCGATGATTTATTTTTTAATGTAAGGGGAAACTGGAGTATCCAGAGAATACGCACGTGGTCGGGCAGGTGACCTCCAGTCATCTTGATGAAGACGAGCGCGTTTTTCACTGCGCCATCAGCCCACCGTATTAATGACGCACAAGAGCAAATAGCTACTTTAGCTTTGACTAGAAACAAATGGCGTCATTGATGCAAAAATCATATTGTCAATACATGTTTACAAATCATCTTTGGTACAAATAATCTACCTACGGGTTACCGCGGCAAGTTCGGTCACCCAGGACATTTTTGTTCTTGAGCGAATATTTACCACTTTAAAGGTCTTAGCAGCTTAGTTGGCTAGGCATTCCCACGAAAACTTCTGAGAAATTATCTTATGTAAAATTACTTAACACAAGAAAGGTACTTTTAAAAGGGTAGAAGTATAAGTTGCTACTTCCTAGTAACGCGAACTTTCTGTACACGGAATTGGTACTTATTTTCGGTCAAATGTACAACACACTGACAGCTTCAAATGATATACATAAAAGCCAAGCACTTACTATCGTATTCCTTTACTACTAAAATTTATTGAAACATCAATTTGGGCCCGGACAAGTTTGGCCCGTGATACCGGGTCAAGTTCAGCCCATGCAACACATAAAAAAGAAATTGGCGGGAAAATCTGATGTTGCATGTTTCCTGACGTCACAATTTACCCGAATGCATATCTTACCCCATGGAAGGGCTTGTTGGGCCATCCGATCTTTCGACAGGAAAAATTGAATAATTCTTAAACGATCGACGTGCTGCCAAACTTTCAGAACGGACTTTTATAAAAATTGGCCGAAATTGACACGAATTTCCCTAATTGTTACATCCTTAGAAGAATTAAATGCTGTTTAGGAAAATAAAATGTTATAAATGAATGAAAATGTACCATTCATCGAACTGGAAGAAACATTGATGAATAAAATAACGTCTGTCATCTGTGATAGGATTTCTGTAACATCCCGAAAACGATATCTGCCAACAAAGCCGTTTCCGCCATTTTCACCACTTTACAAATTTAAATGCCTGGCAATGCCTTTTTCGTGTCACTTTAAAACTCAACTTGAAAAGTTTATATTTTTATCATGAATAACGAAACGTCATAATATTTATTTTTTAAATATTGCTCTTCCGGTCAAATTACATTCTTTACGAGACATCCTTTCATTTTATATTCAGAATTTATTGGCTTTATTTATGTCGATTGGATTTGACATCAGGCTAGAACTATTTAAGTCCTTTCCAAACTTATTTACAAATATAACATATATTCTGTCATAACAATCCAAATAAACAGTGATGGGGAGATAACTACAATTGGGCTTGTGAAATGAATACTTTTTTCAACTTTTATTCAATCATTTTTTGTTTATGTTTTGGATATTAACAATTAAATATGTCATGCATATTTGTTGACAACCTATCCCACATAAAATCTGAGGGAAACAGGCCCAAAGGACCCTGTATAAACACATTGGCAATTCATTTTAAATCATGAAGTCACATATGTCATTGGCTTCATTGTGACGCTTCAACTACAACAATCGCCAGACAGAGCACGTGTTAATGTGGTGGATTTATGGTGGAAAGTCAACACATTGGGGTGGAATTTCATTATCCTCATAACTATTTATACCTTTCTGTTCGCCTCTTAAACGGGATTATTGTTAAAGGATTACGTTGCGAAAACATAAATAGCTAATGGTCTTTAAAATGCATTCTTACTAACGATGAATATTTTAGGAAAAATAGTATACCAAAACGTAATTGCTAGAAATATAAAGTACGGATGCACTTAGTTAAAAAAATAGTTTCTCGATATATAGTTTACAGTAAACATATTAAACACCTATTTATCACAGACTTTTAAGTATGTGTGACAAACATATGAGATGGGATAATATAATTCTTCGATCCAAAAGTAAGTGTTTTCTAGCCTGGGATATTCTTAGTTTACGTACAGAGGATTGAGAAAAATGAGGGTTCTAGATAACTGTTCAATTCAAGCACATCACACAGAAATATGTTTAATATACATTTCTAGTTTGTCTTGGCGTCATACTTTTTGTAAAAACATACACCCGGGTGTTTCTATATGATGAAAGTCGCTGTCTGAAAATGTACTAGAAGCTATGTCATTTTTAATATTATTATATAAATATATTATTAATAATGTTATGTTGAAATTTTAATCAGCCTAGAAAGAAAATATATTCAATACTTACTGGCATCAACGATCCGTGACTTTCCTAAGTGTTCTATACAGTGAAGATATCGTTTGCGTGACAATGCTTAACATAATGCCGTGTCAGAAGAACATAAGCAGTGTCCTGTTGTCAACAAATGATCCAGCTGATATAACCACCGTTTTTTTATGTTTAACGCAGGTTTTCACGTTCTGGATACGCTTGATTTGTATGAGTAAAGTTATGGAATGATGACCCGGCAAGATGAAGGTAAGTGGCACAGAAATGAGCATATTTTAATTAAAACACTCGTCAGCTCTCTCGGGAACAGGTGTTGTAAATGTAGGATTAAATGGGAGGCGTTTATATGTGTTTTACCATTGTTTTAGCTATGTAAACAGATAATACATTACTTTGGGAAAAGCGACATTTAATAAACGGCATATATGTATGTAATATATAAAGTATACACTCCATATCCTCAGTAAAACAGATAGTTATTATTTCTATGAAATGAAGGTCGTATACGCAGATGTTGTTTTATTCCGTTTTAGTTTATGCGATACATATCAACCTATTTATAATTCGATATTCGAATTGGTATAGAATCATTATATGTTTGATGCCGGTTCGGAAAATGAAAACCATACAGGTATGAATATTTACTGTTCCCAAAACTGAAAGAAAACGTGATGCATAGAAAAATTAAGAAACCAAGGAGAAACTAAAGACTCCCCTGCAATTGGGGAATCGAGAAAAGAATACACCTACTGTTACTTTCTGCATGTATCGTAAGAGACGACTAATATGGGACGCCCCTTCTGAAGTGGGGATTTGCTTTGTAGTCCTCTATTGTTGTATATAAAAGCGAACAAAATAAACCTTCTGCATCGATTGCAATATTTGGGATTTTCTGTTCTTTCTACTTCTAAGTGGATTCTGTCCCCAGACCAGGACATTCGAAAGTCCTTAAAATGGTTGTTGTTGTGCCCTGCTTAACCTTCAGCATATAAGGTAATTGCAACTACTGGTTCACCCGTTGTCAAGATAATGTGACCAGGTGGAATGCTGTGCTGGGTGCCTCCGGCATGGTGTTTCAGTGAGATAGCACTAAAAAGTCGTTATCAGATCCGCGCTATTACAAGGAGGCAAGCACCACAACATACCCTGTCTCCAGCACACACACACACACACACACAAGCACGCATACACATGGAGGCACGTCCTTAAATGACCTTAGCTGTTTATAGGACGTTAAACCAAATAAAACCGAACTAAAAAGAAAATGTTATAAATCACAAATAAAAACAATCGAATTAAGCTCATGTGTTCCGGGCTTGTAAGCCACTGTCAGAGCAACACCAATGGTATTCTAAGAGGAATATAATACCACATTTGCTAGGCTTCGCTTATTCAAAATGTTTGTTTCTCGATACGAGATAGAAAGCCAAACAAAGACAACATGTTACTGCAACAAATATTGTACTTCAAAATTAAAACATTCTGTAAAAAGTTTCAGAAAACGTTCTGAATAGTTAGTTATTTTTAATTGTTGGCCGGAAACTTAATATTTTTAATTTAAACAACTTAACTTCCTTATCAAACTTCTACACAGGATACGTGCCAAATACATATGAGTTGGAAGAACATAATTCTTCTTTCCCAGAGTAACTGCTTTCTAGCCTGGAATATTGTAAGTTTGACAAAAATGAGGGTTCTTAATAACGGTTACATGTACGCACAGAACACATAAATAATTTTAAAATAAATTTCTAGTTTTACATGGTATCATGTTTATTCTTAAAGCACACACATAAGCGGTTCTATCTGATTGAAGTCGCTTTCTCAAAGTGTTCATGTAGCTATGTCATTTTTAATAGATAAGGTTGAAATTATAATCAGCCTAGAAAGAAAATAGATTTTTTACCTACTGGCATCAACCATCCGTGACATTCCTAAGCGTTCTATACAGTGATGATATCGTGCGTGGCACAATGCTTAACACAATGCCATGTCATAAGAACATAATCAGTGTCCTGTTGTCAACAAATGATCCAGCTGATATAACCACCGGTTTTATGTTTTTAACGCAGGTTTTCACGTTCTGGATACGCTTGATTTTGTATGAGTCAGCTCTCTCGGCAACAAGTGTTGTATCGATAACTAGAATTGTATACGTAAATGTAGGATAAAAAGATAGGCATTTGTATAGGATCTACTATATCTAATGCATATCTCTTTGTTTTAGTAACTCTATCAAACAATATGTTGTGTTGGGGATAACGAAATTTGATACACAACATATACTCAATACATGAAGTAGTTATTTCGATTCCTCATTAAAACAGATAGTAACGGTTTATTTAAGATGAAGGTCGTATGCGCCGATGTCGTGTTATTCCGTTTCAGTTTATGAGATACATAATCTAAACATTAAGTATTTTAGATTCGTATGGTAAAAATATTATTGTAAACAAATCGATAACAAAGACGATATATATGATGTTTTACACGCAGTAGCATCATGCATATAATAATATAAATATTACGTTTCTAAATTATCCTGAATACATTTAAACGAGTCCAAAGTGGATAGCATAGTATTCTGCGGTTATAGATTTATGTTAATGACGTTATCATAAGGATCCGGAAATGATTGGAATTTGCATTCATTGATGCTTTAAAAATTGAATATTATACATGTTTGAAAATTGACCATTCCCCAAACAGAAAAAATATATGCATAAACTAAAGGAATGAAAGGGATAAAAACTAAAGAGAAATTTTATGAATCACTAATTTAATCAATGGAAGTAAATTCAAGTGTTCCGGGATGGTAAGTGTTTCCCGTACAACAAATCTATCATGATATTCCTGTAACATCCTGAAAAATATGTTCGCCAGCGAACCCGTCTCCGCCATTAACACCATGCTACAAATTTGATTGCCTGACAATGACATTAGCATTGTCACTATAAAGACAGACTTGCAAAGCTTATGTTTACACCCGTCCCATTTGAATGAAGAAACCGGCATTCTGTTGTGACAAAAATACCAATTTTCCGGCCATCTGCCATTCTTTACGTGCTGATCGTTCGTAAAAAAGCATGACGTCATGTAATTGACTTTATTTAGCCACAGTTACAACAATGTCACACATTTTCAAATATCATATGTAGAGTGTCTATCACTCGTTATTGTGATGGACTTGTGTTGGACAATAAGATGGAATTCAATATCATCCTGAAGAGTTACTCCTTTCTTCAAACCTTTAAACGGGGTTTTGGTAAAATGTTTCCATTGCACACAAAAATGAATAAAATCCGTATTTAGAACGGGAACTTATTAACTAAACATATTTTAAGAAGTGTAACATGAACAAATATAATTGCAAGAAGTAAGAAAGCACTCATGTAAAAATTTGGTTTCTCGATACAGAAAGCCAAAGTCAACTGCACCAAATTGTTATACTTCAATATTAAACTGTCTGCAAAAACTCCACATCAAACTTATCACTTAATAATTATTGATATTTTATTTGCTGGCCAGGAACTGAAAATATTTAATTCAATCGATTTGACTCCCTAGTCAGACTTCTACATTGAATATGTATGGCATGCATACGAGGTGGAAGGTTATGTTTCTTCTATCTCAAAGTAACTGTTTTTAGACTGGGATGTTGTTAGTTTACATACACAGTGGATTGTGAAAAAGGAGGGATCTACAAAACGGTAAAATTCCAACACAGCAAACAGAAATATCGTTTATTTCTAGTTTATCTTTGTGTCGTACATATTTTTAAAGAAGACACATGGGTGACGTTTATTGATATTAAAAAGCTTTTCAATCGAAGAAGAAATACAAATATAAATAACTCCAATTTGCCTATTTCCTCGTCTTATTTCTATCCAATTTTAAAAGTAAATATAAAAGTGATTTAAACACATTCCATTTCTTCAAAATACATCAATGACTGTTTAGTACCTGATAGATGCAAAATGTCCTTAAATGTAAAAAACAAGTTTCTGTAGAAGATTTTTAAAATCACATACTAAGTAGTGCTATTCTACACTGAGTATGTAAGGTTAGCTTTGACGAATGATATCAGCAGCTTTCTCCGCAATCATTGTCACCGGCGCGTGTGTATTACCAGCAGGTAACCTTCTCATCACGGAAGCGTCGACAACACGTAAACTGGAAATACCCTTTACTCTGAAACAAAACCATTCAGATTTCAGTTTAATGTGCAACGATATAACAACAATTTGATAACTCTACAATATAAACAGAACAGTAAAATTAAAATAATTATGCAAATAATCAGATCAGTGTGTTTTTTTTAAATAATTGAATTTAGCTACACATAATTATGTCGCCATTGCATGTTTATATTTTAACAGTAATTATAAGTTTTATTTACATTAGACAAACAAGTTGAAGTAAGCAATTTTAAGCATTTGAGGTTGGGCGTGTATTTCTCTTAGAATAGAATAAAGTGAACTGAAAGTAGACCGTAGTTGTGGATCCACTACAGCAGTCCTGTCGTTTGTGGCACCCATTCTACACGTTGATGTTGCGTGAGCCGTGTTTACTGTGTAATAGCGTACGTAGCATTCCCAGAATTCGTCAGACCGGAACTCGTGTTGGATACACAGTTGGTACAGGGGTGACATACTGTTAACATCCATACCAATAGATCGCATTGAATCTGTGTCCACCAGCCGCTCCACAAAGCGGATCACTAAAGCGGATTATGAACCGAGAATAAAAATAAATATGCAGTTTGCATTCTGACGTATCTGGTAATTTTTTTATGTTCATCAATCGTGTCGCCCATTTATGTTAGAAATTAATTCGATAAATTGTTACCCTTTATTAAGATAGATAACAAAACCATTAAGATATTAAATCAACGGTTTAAGATACATAATGAAAACAGCAAAACAGGATGTAACTATATACTTTTAACAGCCATTTTGACATCATCCGGGTGTTCAAGATTATGCGGGTCAATCTCTGGGTAGTCAAAAGGGTCAGTGCTCTTCAATTGGATTGTCCCTCTACTCTTTGGATGTAATAGCATTGGTACTATTGTGATCGATTCCTTATCCTCCCTAGCGGTGAAAACCTTATCAGCCACCTGTATATACAATTGCAACAATGAAAAGATATTACCCAAATGGCATACATTATCACTTTTTTAATAGTTTAATAAAAAGTTGTTAAAATATTTATAAGGAAATTTCTTCATTATTGATATTTGGATGATTCATTTATCTGATGCGTTTTATGCATAAACTGTATTCATTTTCCAACATTTATGAAGCAAGTTGCATCATCTTAAAATAATAATGAGTAATTAACCTACACATTGGCGTAGCTGTAAGCGCGCAGTTTGTCTTTATATGAAGAGGAGTACTCAGAGAGAACTCACGTGGTTGGGAAATCGAACCCTGTCCGTCTTGATAACAGGCAAGTGAGCTATTCATTTCGACAACCTATGTTTTAATATTTTTATTACATTTTTATTCAAATGAATCTTAGTATATAAAATGAAAATTGAATGATATTCGGAAATGTACCATACCTCGTCTTTGAAATTGAATTTCATGATACTTTTCATAGTTGGAGTGAACATATGCATTGTTTGAAATTGCAACTGAAAGTCTGAAGTTTTTCCTGCGTCTTTCTTTTTATTGAAATCACTATAAATAAACGCCATTCCTTCGCAGGCTGAAGCCGACAGATAACCTGTAACGATATAATGACTGTTGGTATCATAAACAAAGATTGGTAGTTAAATTTTATATTTCCAAAGATTATTTTCCACGAATAATCAGACGAAAGATATGATTTGTATCAACCAAAGACAGACATCTTTGCAACATTAGCTTTTTAGCCAAGCACATAAAACAAAACGTATGAACATGCGGTTGATTTCGTATTGAGCAGGATTACCATGGACAAGATGTCCCATCAGTAGGGTAAAACTAACCTGTCTAACGACGGTCTTTTCGTTGAGTTAAGATGTCATCACGACATGATTTCTATGAGTCAGTGCCGACTAGGGTAAAACGCGTGATCAACGTGTATTTAATAGTTGGTGACTACCTTATGATCGGTTAAATATTAATATCTTGTCTACTGGTTCATTATACCTTACATAAGTCGTCTGCTGAGTAAATGTACTGTATATGTAATGAACAATGATTCAATATACTGTATTTAGTTTGACTAATAGGACAAGATACTACATATGTATTGACTAATGAGTCAATGTGATGTACCTGTATTGAATAATTAATTGATATGTACCGTATATGTATTGACCAATGAGTCAATGTATTGTTTCTGTATTGTCTAATGTGTCAATGTACCGTATCTGTATTGACTTATAACACAATGTGCTGTATCTTTATTGACTAATGACACAATGTGCTGTATCTTTATTGACTAATGACACAATGTGCTGTACCTTTATTGAATAATGAGTCAATATAATGTATATATATTGTCTTATGAGTCAATATATTGTTTCTGTATTGACTAATGACACAATGTGCTGTATCTTTATTGACTAATGACACAATGTGCTGTATCTTTATTGACTAATGACACAATGTGCTGTATCTTTATTGAATAATGACTCAATGTGCCGTATCTTTATTGAATAATGAGTCAATATAATGTATATGTATTGTCTTATGAGTCAATGTATTGTTTCTGTATTGAATTATGACCCAATGTGCCGTATCTTTATTGAATAATGAGTCAATATAACGTATATGTATTGTCTTATGAGTCAATGTATTGTTTCTGTATTGACTACTGACACGATGTGCTGTATCTTTATTGAGTAATTAATTGATATGTACCGTATCCGTATTGCTAATGACTCAATTTACCGTATCTTTATTGAATAATGAGTCAATGTACCGTATCTGTATTGATTAATATGGCAATGTACCGTATCTGTATTGACTGATGTGTCAATGTGCCTATCTGTATTGCCTGAATTTGTGAAATTAAATATGACCTATTTTTCAAGTTGTAATTTACAACTTGAAAATACTAACTTGAGTTAGATAAACATGATACATAACAAGCACATAATGTTAAACCTCTATTTTTGCATACCTGTGCCGAACAAGTTATACTGCAGTCGAGTCCACCAGGATGCCATATCCTCCAATGTCACTGAATCAGTTGTATTAATAGTGAATGTCAGAGGCATAAATATATGCTCCTGTAGACTTTTCCCAACTGGCAAATCAGCATGTAACTCAATCTGAAACGTTGCAATTAAACATTATAAAGAGAGAAAGAAGAGATATGTAGAGAAATTCAATGAGAAATGAAGATACTAAATATGCACTCAAGTGAGTTAAAGTATCATTTCAAATTTAATCTTCATTCTTAAGCTGGTTAATTTTACCTAGTTACTAATTCATGAGCTTAGCATTGTATGACATAACCAGTATAGTACATACGAGCTTTAAACTGTATCTTGAACCTAATAATTAACTCACGATATAACGGAGAGATCAAACCACAATACACAATTAAAGAACAATTGATCACTTACACATTATTTATACCATTAACAGGATTCACAATTACCCCATATTTTTGAAGATGGTCTTTAGGCCCGACGCCGGAGAGCATCAACAGGTGAGGAGAGTTGATGGCGCCAGCAGACAAAATCACTTCCTTCCTGGCAAACACTCTGACCTTCCTTCCGTTCCTGATACACTCCACGCCAATAGCCTTCTTGTCTTTGATGATAATCTAAATCAGCAAAAAGAGAGTTGATTATTTTTTCATTTAATTTAAATGCAATTATTTAATATAAAACATATGAACGTTAACTGGTGTGCCCTAAGGCCGTTTTCACTGGTAACGGCGGCAGGATTGGTTCATGTACAGACAATCTTCTGAACGAGCTGGTTACGCTGGCATTTTTGGAGTTTTTGATGTTTAACTCTATCCATTTGTTGTCTTTTCGTATCAATTTGAGATCAGATTTTGTAAATTTCAATCTAAATAAATTGATTGAAAATATCAGAAACCGAGGAATTATTGTTTTAAATATTTGCTATATCCTATTTTATTTCTATTGTTTTCCTTTGTAGTGTTCTGTGTTTTTCTGTGTCTCGATAAATGAACAGATTGCTTCGACAATTTGACAAACTCATACTGTTTACACTGGTTCAAATAACTCAAAAATGATAAACGTTCTAATTTTTTATCATTTCCTGAAGAGGAGGATTCAAAGAACCTTAAATCGATACTAATTTAAAAGAATACAACTAGATACCACATGTTGTAGACACTCCCCAGTACTTGACCAATAACATATTATACTTACTCCTATTCGACAGACAGGTACACACTTCCTTCGTCAGTTTATTAGATATATGAGATCACATTGGAATCATTTTCAGTACTTACGCACGATATATTAATTACTCCCCAGACTAAGTACCTTGGTGGTGAAAGTGTTTGGACTGATGTGGAGGTTATTTCGTCCCATGTGAGGCTCCACAAAAGCTCTGTAGTTACTCCATCGCTCCCCACTTTTTATATTAGACTGCGTCCAGCAAAACCCTTAACATGTTTCATGTTATATTACTGTTCGTTCAAAAAGCCTGCCCATATAAATTATAATACAATACCATGCTTAAACTATACTCCAATATAACAGATATAAGACTGCCAAATCAATTACTGATGCATACTCACAGTTCTACATCAAAACTCGTAAAACACCTTAGTGCATATGTACATATATGTATAATCTCAATCAATAATGAAGGCGGAAGACATTAGCTAGATCAATGCAGATGTAATTTAATAAACTACAAAAAAGTTGACAATTTTATACTTAAGAAAACAACTTCATACCATAATTAACTGAAAATACTAAGTTAACGAATTAAACGGCGTGATACCATACTTCAACACAAATTGCCACAGTTTTCAACTTTATACTAAGTAAACGACGTAATATTTAATAAGATTCTTCAGTTTGGAATGTATGATATCAAAGTTTTACTTTATCCACAACCAATGTACATATTTAACGTGTCGCAATGTTTCATGACTGACTGGTCCCTTTGTTAAGCTATGACTGAGTGAGCGATTTGTTTTGTTTACTTGTAAAGCAATGTGACGAAATTGTCTATTTTGTATGTCACACGACCCGGGATGTTTTACCGTTCGATAGAGAGCGTGTTTGATATTAAACGACGCAATACCATAGATAATTACACAAAAAAAACATATTTGACGAGTTTATACTTTAGAAAAACGACATAATACCCTAGTAAATGACTTAATACCAAAGGAAACAACGTTATACAATAGTTAGTGACATTATTTACACCATGTCATTTCAATTTACGACTTTCCACGTAATACCATAGTAAAACGATACGATGCCACAGTAAACGACGCAATACCAAATAATGTAATTACACAATTTTAAACAACATTATTGCATAGTAAAAAGATACTTTACCATAGTTAATGTACTGACCTATTTGGTCTTCCCCGTTACAGTCCGTGATGTTGTAACCCACATTTTTACCCGCGTTTAAGTACAGCTGCTGCATTGGTGTAATATTCGGTCGAGTTATTGGTAAGGGGCCATCCGTACCATGATACTCTTGTTGGAGTGATACATGTATAACAATTAATAATAATAATAGTTGGAGTGGTATAAAATAGGTCGATACATGTTTATAGAGAGTTGGCAAATGATGCATTAAAGTTACTAAATATGTAGCTAAACTGAATATATAACACAGATTACACAGATAAAGTATACAGCTAAAAACTTCAACAACAGCAGAATTCTTATTTTTAAATGATTTAAAGTTATGATGACAAAAGTTTCTACCAATATATGATGAAAATTTCAAAACTCATCTATCATTATTTGCCATGCTGTTTTGCCGAAACGCTGAATTTCGTTCTCTTAGACATAATTTTGTTGTTAAGTATTTTCTGAATATTTCGTCACTTCACTTAAGGACATTTGCATTGCTTATTGATTTCACATATTTTATTATATAGATTTATCCAAATTTACAATGGAAAAGAAAAAAAATTACCTGATGTCTTGAACTCGTCAATCTGTATGTCCTCTGACTTGATAAAGTATGGAAGAACGTCCTTGTAGCTCCAACCATCACAGCCTTCCTCAGCCCAGCTGTTGTAATCATGGCGGTTACCTCGGACAAATTGTAAATAATTAAGAGCAGTTGATCCTCCAAGAACCTTCCCGCGTGTCCAGTAGGACCTCTGCGTAAGAGTATAACATTTTGTGAACTTCTTCATTAAAACTGGGACGGTGAACGTACAGAACTATTAAAAACATTGACAGTCAATGTTATTCTTATTGAAAAGAAACATAAAATTTAAAAAAACAAATAAAAAATGTTTTTTTTTAAATTAACATAAAATGCGGACAATCAATACACATTAGATTAAATTACCATGAATTAAAGTCTGTGATGAAATAATTCATAGATCTTCTTATGAGAGATAATATTGTTGACAATGACTTTTCTTCCTTTAAGCAAAAAATATCATACGCATGTATAACATGTATAACTTAGCTGGTTTATTGGGTTTATCGTGATTTAATAATTCAGGGTATACAAGAAAAAAAAGACGATGAAACGTCCAATGTGAGCCAAATGTAACCTTATCATTATGTTTGGAACAACCTGATGGAACTAGAGCGAACCTGCATAACCTTATTTGGTCTAATAGGGGTGCACTGCTAGAACAACCTAGCGCGTGTAATGCAAATCTGAATCGGCAATAATGCTTATAGGAAAATACCCTTTGACGGGCTTGGCGTACTTAAACTAAAATCTGTATAAGCTGATTATTTCATTAGACATCTAAAGCTGTTTAAAAGCGCAGCGAGTCTAATGCAGTTTGTTTTTACTAAAATAATGATTCATACTCTTTGGAGATCATTTCGTGTCTATGTCGAACCATGTTACATAATGGTTCTCACATTCGTACTGCTGGTATACTGTTGGGACAGTCGTCTTTAGCTATATGGAGCCGTTTATAACATACTTGTTTATAGATAGGTGTACATCCAAAGGGATATAATACTTAAGGTTGAGTATATCCGGAACATATGCAGACACTGCTGGAACTAAAGAAAACCATTAATTATAAAAAGTTCCCTGAAAGTACACATGTGGAACAGGATTTTGCGTCTAAAGTGAAACCCTACTAGTTTTCTCTTTCTAGATTGAAACTTCAAACTCACGTCAAACTCTTTTATATTCATCTACCTGTTCTTTCATAGCAAGGCATGCATTTTTCTGTGGCTCTGTAAAATACATCCAGTCCTGTTCCGACTCCGCGAGCTGCCCAGCTTCTCCAGGAACCCGGATGCTAGGATTGTCTTCTTCCGACCCCCCGGCCTCCAGTAGAAGGATGTCCTTGTTCGGGTCTTCTGATAGACGTGAGGCTAGCACTGAACCCGCCGCACCGGCTCCAACTGAGGGTTGTGATCAACAAATAATATAATCATGCACATTTAGAATCCTACAACAACAAATACCGAGAAACAAAATTATTGATCATAAATCCATGCCGTGTTAAGAACCATCGCATCATATGGCGTGCCATTGTTATCTTATATGTTATATTTAGCGTGTTAATAAACGTAATGCAGTTGAATTCTTTTATCCGTGGAACATGATCCATTCAATATATTTGATTGGCAGGTGTTCCGTGATTTATATGTTAATCTCCCCATCGCGTCAACTTTAAATCTAAACATTTGCATACAGAACGGCAAATAAGGTCTTTGTGGTGACAATGAAGAATTGGGTTTAATTCCTTTCCATAATAGTAACAAGCCAGTCTCTCGTCTTACAAAGGAATTTACTTCTTCAGTACCTGTTTTGCAGCTCAAAATTTGGTTTTAATGGGTGATTTCTATTGACCAATTGACGACTTTGTCCTAGTATGTCGACGCTAAAGTATTCCCTCCTACATCAAAAGTCCCGTATATTACTTTCGTCTATTTTTCGTTTTATTTTTCATAACTGAAGAAAACATATTTACACTAATTTCCTTGAGACATCATGTCAAAGTGATATAATGTTCGCTTACCAATTATATAGTCATAAGTCTCGTTCAGTCTAACGGGGAACTCAGTACCACGTGTAGGTTGTCCAATGTAATAGAAATACAGCAAAGCAACAAAAGCAGTCATGCATGACGTCAGTAAGAACTTATCCATCCTGAAATACAGAGGTTCTTTATTACTACTAATCCAACATCACATGATGAAAATAAAAAAGTAATGTTATGTACATAAGTTTCATTTTCAGTGTATTCATGTGGAAAGTTAAAGTAATATGAAATAAATCTTAAGAAAAAAAACTAAGGGAACTACCGTCTGTTTGAATGAAGGTATTTGTTGTTCTACATATGGTTTCCTTCGAATAGAAAATCCATTTAGATGAAGCAACATAACACACACACACACACAGATTAGCAAAGTCACACACTGGAAAAAAGATTGTTTGCCATTATATTTGTCACTGATACAATCTCTATATATGTTATTGCCTGCCTTCCTTTCAGATGTGTCTTCTCATCTTAACGACTATAGTCTGACTATAACACATAAACATTGTATATTGCACAGTCAGGAATAATAAATGAATAATATACATTATTTAAATAGCGCCCTATATAATTTGTAAAATTACTCTATAGCGCTTTACAACATATGGATAATAGAAATGGTTATAATTGTGAAAACAAAAAACAAAGGCTTACAATCACTTTTATACATTTAAGCAGGCAATGTGCACATAATTGAACAAATAAAAGGGTGGTATTTACATGACGTCTTTGCAAGGATTCTAAAATACAGACGTGAAGAGGTGAGTTTTGATGTCCCTCTTGAACTTTGCCAGGATATTTGACTTTATAATAGCAGATGGTAAGCTTTTCCACAAAGTAGCCGAAACCCTTTCAAAGCATCTGTTTCCGTAGGTCACAGTACGAGATTTTGGGACACACAACAAAGATTCTGACTCCGACCGCAGTGATCGTGACGGCTGATACAGGGTAACAAGCTCCTGCAGGTACTGAGGAGCTGTTCCATAATGTATCTGAGGAATGCTACACTCTCCTAGGTTAAGAGTTAACTGATGTTCATTCATTGTTTTCTATGACCTGTCAACATACCATGTATGGACTGTATCAACCATAACTATCGAAACGTGTAAGAGACCATCAATAGGTTGTTCCTACCGGTGACACTGCGTTACTGTTTATCCGTGTTCTATTTTCGTAAAACAAAATGTTCTTCTAAGGTGAGAAATATATTCTGCGAGGTCGATACTTAAACAAAAGACACATATGTAAGGTAAATTTGTTTGAAAAGTAAATAAAAAAGCTAAACGTTTTATACTTTCATTTCTATTTCTTTATACAGTTTGATTGAGCAATGCTTTCGATTGTAAATTGATACGAACTATATGTCAATATAGTTATTGGATGTAAATATGATATACTCATATTATCTTTACATAAAATAACTACATTGATAAAAATCCATACATCATTTATATTATGGCATGTTGACAGTTCATTGAAAGAAATGAATGAAGAAATATCTGACCTGCGTAATAAGTTTTATCTGACGTAACATTTTTGCAATTTTTACTGATAAAAATTGGAATATATTCTTATTGTAAAATCAAATGTCTTGGTATGTTATTGGGTATCTCCTTATAAGGAATGTAAGAACATATTATCTATTAGATAGACATATATCTTGTATTTGAACACATTTAATATTAACATTTTTGTGTTTTTGACATTTTAAGAATAAAGGTTCACTTCTGGTTTATATATATGAAGGCCACCATAAAACCAGTCTGAAACAGCATTCATCCTTAGTCGTTCTCACAATATATGAGCAAGTTATCAATATGTAATCAAAGTGAAGATCAAGAGGCACTTATCGTTTTTCTTGATGTTGATTTCAACCCTGTTTATAATCCTAAAACACTGTAGTTGTCATTTCCTGCTAGACGATTATCATTTCGGGTAATTCCAAAAATCACTGGTTTCACTTCTTTTCCAAAATTACCAGGGTCAAATTGTTTAATCTTTTATGATACTTCTTTTGCAACACAAAAGGGGTTAGGAAAGTGATTATGTTCATTAAAGGACGAAAATTAAGGGCGATAATAAGCGGATAACTGCTTCCTGCTTTCTAGTAATATGTGTCTTCCTTTTGTCGTTTCATATATTTAATTTTACAAAAGCACGAAAAAATGACAATTAAGAATTGTCAAAGCTCATCATGCCGGAGTGGACAGAAGAAAGGACAAAAAACAATTATTTAAAGAAGGTGTAGAGTAATGGTATTCATAATTTAGTACCGGTATAAGCTTGCTTGCTTTTTATTTTGTATTTGACCTTGATGAACTTTGTCACCGATATGAGAACATCGTTAACAGTATCATCAGACAAATTTATCTCTGTCGGCTATGTTTGTTGACTCTATCGGGTCACGAATATTCAAGGGGAATAACTCTTAACATACGACCTAACAGTAACTACACCAGCACGCAATGTCTGGGATAAAACAAGAATGCGAAATTTGTTTACGCTAATGCGAGTGGTTGGGGGAAATTGTAGGGTGAAAGCATCGTAAGTGCATGAGAATTAAATAGTTTTATTAGATTCTCCAATAGCTTTGTAAGATAATCTCTCATATAACAATTGCGATACTTGAAATATGTATTGTCAAGTCAAATTCAAAGTACAAATAATCTCTTATTTTTTATACTTAAAGAAACATCTGTAAAAGTAACATTTATATGATATGTATATACTGTTATGTTTTGTAAGGAGAGGGCTTATATAGGCTATGCCTGTTGCTCAATTCCTTTTGTACATAAGATCAGTACAATAAAATATTCCGAAATGAAAAAATTTAAGTATTTGTTGGTCATTGCAATTGTTCCTTTACATTGTATTAAGCGTCCAATACTGTCTAACCTGGGATCGCTGGTGTGGTTCCCCAATGCAGTGTTCTTAAGTTCAGAGAAAAGTAGGTCCCGGTAACGCTACCTACTCATATCTCTCAAAATCCTTAGAGCGTGTAACATTGTGTCTACACCGTCGCGTGTACATGTATCATTGTGACCCATATATTACAAATATGCACTGTCATATTTAACGATGAAAAGTTCATTGTTCAAAGTGGGTCAATGCGAATAGATATGCACCGGAATGTGTGAGTATATAAGTTTAGTAGGTAAGGTAGGTTATGATTTGAATGTATGTCAATCATGGTAGATTTATAATAAACATAATCTCTACATTGTAAACAACAAGCATAAGCTCCGTAGAGCTTTTATCACAACGCCGCTAATGGAACAAATGATGTTTCCGTGGTGGAGGAAATCCCACGGAGGAAAACCATGTCATCGAAGGGATAAAAACTAACCCTATCAAACATCACTTTCTTCTTCCGCCGCCACTGCAGATCGAACCGAAATTCTGGGGAACGTGAGTGGTCTGAAGCTCACACTTGATTGCACATAGTAGAATTGACTGTGCGATTTGGCGACAACGGTTGCCGAGTCACCCATCTAAGATTCACTACTGAATTACCACATTGATATACTGTATGTAACCGCTTACCTTGTATGTGTAGTATATACTGGGCATGTTATAGTCTGTGTGTAGTATCAATGTAGTGGACTTCTTAAATTGTTGACTTCCTTCTTCATGTATTCCGAGTAGCTAAAATACACCACCTTTGATTGGCTATTCGGTACTTCTAGATAGGGTAGTGATTGGCAGATGACCAGAGGACCGTATGGTTGACGACTGTCATCATTTGATGCAGTTCGTGTGTAAATAACGTAAATAATCATTGTCAGATTTAACTTTGGAGTCAGCCAAAACAATGGATAAGGATCTTCTCGTATTACACTCAGTGACAATTGGATGTTATTACCGAGACTAGCAAATAAACGTTAATTTTTGGCGAGGAGGTGTTTGAATTAAAACCCATTTGTGCATTTTGCTTTTGTAATTAAACCACAAAATACGTACTTCTGGTCGCGAGGATTTTTAAACAAAACTTGGCTATTTACAGCTCTGGATCCAAGGTGAGGGATAATGTATGGGTGAGAATTCACAAAATGTTAAAATGTTTGATATTGACACTTTGTATTGTAGTTGTTGGAGAGTACGACGTCCTATGAAACAATCAATGTGTTTATCATTAGATTATAGTATCTTCTGTTAAATGTCGTAAAATTGATGTACAAATTCACTATAGATATTTTATGTTCATAAAATATTACATGTATCTTGTGTTTTAGTTCTTAATGTACTCTGTTCAAGATGGAGTAAGTTTTGAATATACAGTTATATTAAATAAGTCCACAAAAGGTAAATTTATAAAAATAAAAAAATAAAAAATAAAAATAAAAAAAAATGCACTTGACGTTCATAATTATGAATCAGCACAAGTATTTCATACAATATCACTGATTTATATTCTACTAATATTTACAGAAATACTTCAGATAATAAAACCAAAATTGGGAATCAATGAATTAATGTTATGCCAGTTTGGTGTAGATTATATCGCGTTTAATTCTTATAGATGAACAATAATGCCCATTAAATGATTCGCCATTCAAAGTTTAGCCCGCCACAAAATAAAATATTAAACTCCATTATGTTTATTTTATGAAATCAGTTGAAATCCCAACTAAACTGATGATTTACAATATACCATTACATAATGTTTGTTAAGTGCAAATAATGTAAACAAGACTATATTTTACCGATGATTAGTGACTTAGAATATCATTTGTATGTCCTTAGCATGACGCCTTATATGAGTTAAGTAACATGACACAGGATGTCAATAAGGACATCTTATATACAATGTTTGTCAAGTAACATGACATAGAATTCAATAAGGAAATCTTACATACAATGTTGGTGAAGTAGCACGTGTGAATATTAATAAGCATCAGCTAATTTAGAAAACGTTTACTCACCAGGGCTCAATAATGTCTCTGAAGTGAGTTTGAAGTGAATAGATTAATCGTTTGTTTTGGATGATTACGTTCGTTTTGCTTCATTTACTTTGATAACTGAGTGCTTCAGAAGCGGTACGCAAAATACATTGAGCTCAATTTGGAAATTAAAAAGGAACACACATAAATGACATTGAAAATCATGTAATCACGAGCAATATGTGGATTTAATGAAATGATATTGGAATTTCTTCAAAAATCATGAAACACAATATGAACGTTTAAACCCAAAAAACCTTTAAAACAGATGGATTGAAGGGACATTTATTTTATGATGTTTTTTGAGATAACAATAAACACGCATTTTTGGATTAAATGACCGCAGCCTATTTAATGATACTTATTCTGAACAAATGTGACGAGGTAATTCCCTCATTTACTTCATTTCAAGAGATATATGTATTTTATTTACCTCGTTGTAGCAGAAACCATACAATATCTATCCAACAGATAAAATATTTATTTCAAAATAAGTATTTATCTTCCTCAATGGAACAGACCTAAAGTTAAAGCAAAACCTGTAACGTTACAGATAATATCAATATAATGAAAGCAGTGATAACATTTTGAGGAGCTATGACTGAATCTGGATGTTATCTATATTCTTAAAAACCGAGTATTGTCTGTAACTTCTCCCACAACCGCTACAGGTTTCCTCACTCACAACTCAGTGGATAAACCTGCTAGGAGTTGCTTACCATTGTTGGTTCCCACTACTGGATTACACCCTTGACGTTATTTTATTGGTCAACGTTTTAATTATGACATGATGTAACAGTGCTTTGCAGAGTCATCTTTTATTGTGACGTCATGATTCATGGAAATAGTTTCCTTGATCGGACACAGGAATCGTGTTTTTCGAGAAAAAAATACATAGTTTTCTGTACTTGATATAAACCTTATGGGAGAAAACGTCTTTCAAAATCGTGTTGGTTGATCATCATGATTATCTTATTCTCAATAGTTAATTTTCAAATTGCAAAAGACACTTCATAAATCCCGTGTCTATATATATATATATTGAAAATTGACTAACTCAAGTAAGATAAGCATGATAATCAGTCACCAATCGCTTGGAACTTCTATGTCCAGGTCAAATTGCTGAAATTTAATTAACAGTCAGCAAAGATTTTTTTGTATTTTTTTCTGAGATTTCTCTCGCATATAAAGTAGAAAATGGCAGTTATGAGTAAAGGATCACCCAGTTATTTAAGACTTTGTAGCCCCACATTACAGCTAATATCTTGCTTCACACGCGTGTTCTTTAAGATCTCTCTTGCTTTGCTCTAATATTAGACATTTCTTAACAATTTTACCTAACAGCACTTCTTATTTTTCATTTTCTATTTTCTATTATAGGTTCCATTCATAAAATCTTTCAATACTTAAAAAATATCACTCTGAACAGGTCTCATGTTTCAAGTTTTTCGTGATTTAAAACATCAAATCGGAGTGTTTAAAAGCAAATTGTAGATCGTGTATAGAAAAAGAAAGTATAAAATTGTTTGGCCTTCTCATAGCATTCCGTTAAGGTTCATCAAGAACAGACATGCTTAGAAGTAAGTTTTTAACTACAAACATTACGTTTGATTGGCACTTGTTGAGTATATTTCACGTACGCTATATTGACAAATAACACATTGAAATGTCTAGGATAGAGGAAGATACATTTGTTTCTTGTCAATGATCCAAGGTAATCACTAGCCTCACATGTCTACAAAGACACTTGGATGTCATTGACGATGTTCATGTCTTCCGTTTTTTCTCATGTTGTTTTCACGTTCCCGTGCGGTCGATCCCTGTCTTGCGTCAGTTTTTCGATTTTACGCCGGAAAGTGTAGGCGAATCGTGACTGTAACAATCTGCGGACGGTTTTCTCTGTGGCATGCCAAGACTTTTTGAGTTCCGTATAATGTATTTCTGCGAAGATTACATAAATAATAGCAATCAAATTAAGTATGTTTCATTATCAATCCATCAATGACGTGTACACTGGTAACTCCTACATTTTGTGAACTTTTATATCTCAGATAATGTGTTGTAAAAAAAAAAAAATACAAAACCTTACCTTAACTACAAGGCATCTAAGAAGAAACACTTCTTAAGAAAATATAACAAACAAAGACCACATCTCACCTTGCTTATAACGTAGGTACTCTAGTCTAATTTTCCCTGCTTCTATTTCCTCATCGTCCTCGGAGATTTTCTGTTTTCTACATTTGTTCAATGCTGATTCGATAGCGACCATGGCTTCGGAATCTGATGTAGGGTTCTGGCCAACTGCTAGAACATCACGAAGTTTATTTCTTGCAATTCTCGCGCTAGTGTTCTAAAACATACGAATACAAAAGAAAATACTGAGTACTTGGCTGGCTGTTTAATATTCACTTTTGTAAATAAGTGTATATCAAACATTCATAAAATATATTGAAAAATAAATAGTGTGAACGACATCAGTTTTATAAAGTTGACAGAAATTCGATATTTTAAGTGGTAAAATGGAATAAAATATATTTACGGTACATTCATGTCGACACAACAATACATTCATATATGGACAATAAATGTTGCATTGCTCGTAGAAAAGGAAATTTGGCAACAATTACAAAATTATTATAATAAATGATATACTATATCTCTCTGTTTGGCGTTATAGCAGACGACAGGAGATAATTACAGACATTCACAGAAGCGCTTGTAGAGTCTGATGATAAGACAGAAATTGTAAGAGCATATTCCCCATCTTCTGAAATTGTGACTGAAATCAAAAGTTCTCTTTGATCTCGAAGAACTTTGCTTTGGACGAACGTCGTCAAATGCATTTGGTCAAACTGCCCGTCGACATACGTTGATTTGATGAGATCAGTTCTCACTTCCATGGATTTGACAACCTCTTCGTCAAGGTGGAAAGTGAACCTCATCTCTTTGTTCTTTTGTACCGGATATTGTCCATTTCTGTTTGACGGGAACAGCAAGCCTGCCTGTTCACAGATTGGACCAGGTCCGAAACCCACTTCTTTTGGATCTATCGGTAACGGTATACATTCTTTTCGTCGTGAAAAACAGTCAAGTCTAAACTCACCAAGACGAAGAAATGTTGTCTTAGTTGGTGCCCCGAACAGGCGTAGCTTGTACGTTCCTTCTACTGGGAAGTGGATGCGGATCTTCCATCTTTCCCCGCATCGGATCATTGCGACAAGCCTAGGCAAGGATTTTACCGAAAGTAGGACATGCTCTTCTGCGAGTTCTTCGCCATTTCCATCCTTCAGCAAAAATTCGTACCACATTTCGACGGCATTCGCGTTTTTCGCGGGAGCCGCGATATTGATATTGACTTCCCCATCTACTGCTTGATACACACAAACGTCTTTTGATTTCATGACAAAGCCTAATCCAAAGAATGGCGCTAAAAGGTAAGTTTGGTTCAAAAACTGTTTCTGCGATATTGTCTGATCAAGAAGCTGCCATTTTTCATTATTTGGATGACACATGTATTTGAATTCATTGGGATTTGTCATAAAATAATATTCCTCAAATGCATTTTTCATTACTCCTATAGCTTCTGTTTCCTTTTTGCCGATGGTTTGGCCTCCTTCCTCGAGTTTGATCCAGCCACCAGCATTCCTTCCTACCACGCATCTGCAGATCCAGAACGGATGAACGATGTGCCACGCCCCTTCTACATATATCGCGTTCCAAACACACCTTAGTTTGTCTCCGTCTAAATCACCCGGCTGGTAGCCACTCGCTTTACACATTCCCTCAATTTGCGTGCATTGTATGTTAGCTTTTCTGTAGAGAAAAAGAACCAATTATATATTTTGCCTTATTGAATGGAGCTCAAAGAGCTACTGTTCTTCCCAAACTGTAATTGTTGAGTGGGGATTATGGAGTTCTGTAACTTATCATTTCAAATATAAAAATCAAGGAAAATAAAAATCTCAATCTTTGAATTCCTATACCGAGTACAGTTTTGCGAATATAGGAAAGTTAGAAAATGACTATAAGAAATTAATGCTTAAATTTGATGATAAATTTCTGTAATTAGTAACGGTGACCTTGACCTTAACCTTTTGTTCCTAAAATACCAAAATGATACAAAATATTGCCATACTTAACCTTTGTTTAAAATGCGATAACAAATGGGGAAAATGTCAGGAAATTGGATGATCACTCCTATAAATAGTAACAGTGACCTGGTATTAGCAATATAAAACATGAATTCATTCGAGGTACTCTCGTACTTGAGTTTGATCAAAATTCAAAATAAGAACTGCCAGTTTTTTCCTGCTGATAAGAATAAAGAGCGATGGTTAGCGGCACAGTTACTTTAATAAAAAAAAATATATGAAAAAAGAATTGTTGACATAATTAAGCCATTATGTGCCAAGGTCACAGTGACCTACTTATCAACCCTGTGTTACTTTTTCGACCATTTTTTTTATTACATCCAGCTTAAGTGTTACACAATACATCAAATTTATGAAGAAACTTTGAAAAAATGATATGTAGTTTTGTCAAAAAAGGACCATTTGTGATTTTGGTCCCCAACTTTACCCCCTCATATCTGTGAATGGTCTCCAAGTTTACCTTAATTCCATGTCATATCATGATGACATAACTCCAATGTGTGACAAAAAATGAAACATATCGGTGATAGCCACCAGAAGGGCCGAATTGACACCCTTCCTGTGTGTTTATTTTGGAACACAAATCGTACAGATGGGTTTTACAATAATCACAGTATAGCAAGAAAACGCATCACTCGATTCACAGTTACTATTTAGGCTAATAATTAGTAAAAATATCACATGTTGACATCCGCAAGTTGACCTTTAAGAGCTTTAACTTTAAGCATTAGTAAGTGATTGCTTGGTAGTGTAGTACACTGTACTGCTGCCACAGGGAATACGTTTGTGTTGATGTGTTGGACAAAAAAGAGTTTGTGTCTTTTGTAGCATTATTGTGTTTAAAGCATATTGGTGATACTGTGTTGGCATCTGGGTTCTGCATGAAGATGTCCGTCAGCAATTGAGAGAGAGAGAGAGAGAGAGAGAGAGAGAGAGAGAGAGAGAGATATTCACTCTATATACTTAAAATTGAAAAATCATTCTTACATACCTGCAAAGCACCAGGAAAAATGTGGAGTATGTAGTTTTTTCTGCGCCAGGAGAGTAAGATATCCCTCGGGTGTGTCAGTGTTTCCAATTCCTTGCTTCACGGTATTGGAGTCCACATCTTGGACGCTGAGCCAGACCATTAACGCTCTAGCCCTGAACACCTCAGGTCGATCAGAGTGTTCAAGGTTGTCGGTAAGAAAGGCTATCAGGTCAGGGAAACTGGCATTTAAAGAGACCGGTGCCTAATTGTAAACAATAAAATCTATTACATGCAGTGTTTATTTTATTTTCAACTATAAACTATTACAAGTTTGATCATATATGTGCCATATAAATGAAATGTTAGAACCACTGTTCATGTGTTCGCATCCTCGCAACAGCACACGATCTGTGTTTTGGCAGTGTCTTAGAAACATTGATTAAGTAAAAAAAAAATCCCAATGCTACTCAACATGCTTTTTCATATTTAGAGTTGTATGGGTATATTATCTATATCTGAGGTTTGGGATTGTACATAAATATATTAACGGTAAATAGGAAAAGATATTACTTTTTCTAAATATCTCTTCTGCCTTTCTAAAATCAATATGTATTGTGTGGTGTCTACCCCTCGAACATCCCTCTGAAGAAATCTGAGGGTCCCTATCCCACTGCAGTGTGGATTTTCGTATATACTCTAACTTTCCTTTTCGTTTTAGATATAACTGCTGCAGCACAGTGTGGTCTCGATACTTCCGTTGACCAGGTGGCTCAATCAGAAGCGATAGTATAACAAACTGAGGTCCAGTGTTCGAATCCCGGTCTAACACAGCTGATTCTTTCACATGCAGAGCATTGTTGTAGATTATATTTCGATTATTTTATCTTATTTGTGTTTCATAAAAGTCCCGCACGTTCCGGTTTCTTTTCAAAAATGGTTTTATCAAAGCTATAGTCTTGTTGGAAAAACAGTTTATAATGTATAGTTAGTTTTGGGCAGTGATAGGGGATCCTTTAATACAAACCTTCCGAGCATGTGCGTCAAGGTCTTGTTTGGTACGTATTCCCTGTTGATTTAGCGTGTCAGGATCAGTCTCAACAAGGTCTTCGACATCTTCCTCCATCTGAGGTACCCAATTCGCGAACCATTTTACTCCTGTACCCCTTTTGAGTTTTGTTATATCTGTAACAGGGGCTGGCTTTGGATACGAGGGTAATATTTTCTTCTCTTTAACCTGTAACAAAGTACGTGTATTTCATAACCTGTCTAAAATTCTTACTTACAAACCTGAAGGAATTTCTTAGAAATATCCCAACAAAGTACGGAGATGATGTTGTCAAAGGTGTGCGAAAACTAGAGAGTCAGGAAAAGAAAATAAGCGAGACACAGAAATCACCTTGTGTTTTCAATGAGATATGGAGAGCTGCAAATAACACCTTCAAGTCTGAATATCAAGTGCCATCTTCAAAGCAAAGAAAGAACTTGTAAGGGAGAGAATCCGTGTCATTAACAACAAATTGACACATAGAAACATGATGAAACTGACCGAGCGACAAGACCAAACAACGCCACTTAATAAAATAAAACTGTATTATATGTCGTAATGATTTAGTACAGAATACGTGGGTAGAAAACAACTCCGAAAAAGAGGCTCACAAAAATACAAACGATAAAACGTTACTGCCAGAGGTCCCGGGTTCGTAGCGAAGGCATTGACAAAAATAATTACCTCTGCGACATTGGCGCCCACGAAGGGACCCGGTATATTTGACAAAATACTCAGCGATACTTGCAAAGGAATTGCTATGACCGTTGGAAAACTCAGGACGAGTTCTTTCCTGAAGGGGGAGTATGTCACCCTGGTAAAATACTATCGCTTCCTACCGGCTTGGCTAGGGAGAATCTCCCTTTATCTTATTCGGTAGAGCGTAAGACTAGTAAGTAAGAGGTACTGCGTTCGACTTCTGACGGAGGCATTAAAAAAATAATGACCTCTGTTACCAACAAGCAGTATGACAGCAGGAGAGAGGGCCGCACTTGCAAAAATAAGCAGAGGCACAACTAATACGTTATAACCAGCAGACAAAGGCAGGGCAACGGTTGTCATGGACACCGACGATTATGAGCGGCTTTAGACCAGTCCAACAGATACGTTTAAAATGCGTCTCATAGCTATCAAAACAAGAGAGCAAGATTACCGAATCTCAATATGGATATCTGTTTCCCACTGCAGAGAACACGCCTAGAATGTACTGTACACCAAAGATCTCCAAACAAGGGAACCCATTGAGACCTATTGCTGACTATACTGAGTCCATTGGATGTAATGTTTCTATGTTTTTCTCAGACATTCTTGGACCTTTAGTGGGTAAATCGGAACACAATGTCAAGAATTTGAAAAATCTAGCGGAAACTCTGTCAGCGATTAGGATTCAGAAAGACGAGGAATTAATTTCACATGACATTGCTTTTCTTTTAACTAACACGCCAATTGACGATGCACTTAGAATAATTCCTATGCGCTTAAAATAAGACAGCTAATGGAGTAAAAACACACAACTCCGCATTCAGGACATACTGGAGTTGCTGGAATTTGTGCTGACAACAACATATTTTCTTTGTCTAGAAAACGTCTATCAGCAACGTTTCGGCATTGATATGGGCAGTCCAGTGTCTCCTAGTGTGGCAAGTTTCTTCATGGAGCATCTGGAGAGAGAATCAAGTGCAACTGTTCCCTTAGAGTGCACTTGTCTAACTAATGGTAACTCTATGTTACCACCATACCAGAGACCACCAAGAAAGGGTCACAAAAAGTTTACAGCGACCATATCAACACCGTAGAGTTCACAAACAGCATCAAATTAACGTGTGAGGGAGATATCAACGACATGCTGCCCTTCCTCGACACCCTACTGGTAACAAACGGTGATGGAACCATTAATGTTTGGTCTATAGAATAAAGACCCTTACTGACCAATATCTCAACTTCAAATCCCACTATCCTTTGCATCAGACAGTGGGCATAATAAGCTCGTTGCTCAAGACATGACACAATTGACACAAAACAACAGGACAAAATAAAAAACAGAGTCACATCGCTTGGGGTATACCCAAAAGACACAACACCTGAAGGTAACGTACATGTAGCACAATAACTGTGACCCATTCTATATCAGAGAAACTGGAAGGCAATTTGGGATGCGACTTGAATTTGTGTACACCAAAAGATATGAAACGCCAAGCGTGAAATAAATTAAGCAGATCAGAGAGAAGGCATTCGGAGTCCCAGATCAATAAATCGGCGATCAAAACGCATGCCATGCAGCAAAATGATAATAGTATTGACTGGGATAACTTCGAGTTATTGGACAGAGAGCGAATCTGTTCAAGCAACAGATAAAGGAAGCCATCTGGATACGCCGCAGTGAGCCAGTTCTGAACGGAGACGAGGGCGCTACAAAAACTCTCGCACATCTATAAGGAAAGAAAGAGTAGCCGAAACGAATTGTCAGTCTGATTCGTCTTTTCGTACATGTATAACAACTAAGTTTACATACGAGTATAGCGTTCCGAATTGACGTTTCACTTTATATTGCCAACTCGTAGATATTTTGTAACTTTGTGTAAAAGTTATTTGTCTGATGAAGGTGACGGGGTACAAACCGTACAAGTCATCGAAACGTCACATATAAAAAGTCAATGGTTGTGATAAAATACCTTTTCACAAACCTAGTAATTGTCTATCTTATTTGCTTTTTCATATTATATACGTGTATTAGCGTGGTCTTGTTTACCTGACTGTTGTTAGTACTTAATCGTCTATTTGATTATACACAATAGGTATGTTTATTAGAATATTCTTGTTTACCTCATCATTGTCAGCACTTTCGGACGGGTACAGAAAATCAGAACTATTTTCCTCTTCATCCTCGGGTCCAGAGGAGGAGATGGAGTAGGCGGAGGAGTGGGAGTAGGCGAAGGAGGAGGTGTGGGAGTAGGCGGAGGAGTGGGAGTAGGCGGAGGAGGGGGAGTGGGAGTAGGCGGAGGAGGAGTTGACAAAGAACATCCCATCTGTGAAAAACAAACGTGGCATATGAAGCATGTTTCATAGAATATATAGCTTTTCGCAACCCGACACTGTACTATTATTGCATAATATAGTTAAATACTAAATGCTGGTATTGCCCGCGTAAAGATTTAACAGCAATGGCAGAAAATTGCTTTAAGGATACAAAAAAAAAACACTGTAGCGCAATGTTAACAATTAACTCTGGTTACTTCATATAAGTGCAACAAAAACGTCAAATATATACGTAATACATCGTACGTAATATACCCGGTATCGTATGTAATATGAAAAGGCAAAGCCTTAAAAGAGCGTAGCTTTTGTTGATCTCTGATATTTACTGATTCAAAATACAACTTTCAGAACGAGATAAGATAAACTTTATTTAAAGTCGGCTTATCGAGGAATAACAATAAAACACAAGCTCTAATGAAATTAAGACCGACATAACAATAGGGAGACCGGGGCAAGTTCGACCATTTTCCTGTTGGAAGATCGGATGGCCGAACGAGTCCCGCCATGGGGTAAGTTCGGACAGGCATTCGGTAAGTTCGCCTCTTAGCGAAATCCCGCTGATAAGGCTAGTAGGCAACAGAACAGAAACGACCGATGAAATGTATTTGTTGAATGAATTAAAAAGTAAAAAGTACACATTCCTTGTTCTTACCACCATTTATTACTGAAACGTTCGTTCCATCCGTGTGAAGGTATCTATTTAGATCCGAAATCAAATGAAACATTTCACATGTGTCGTATGCATTTACACAAAACACTTCACAAATCTATACAAATAATCACCGATTTTGTCGATAAGCACATATTGGTATGCATACTGACATGGAAATGTAAGAACTTGATCGATTTTAATCCAAATGTG